TCACAGGGGATGAATCAGTATATAAATCAAATGTAATTAACCCATTTATATAATTCTTGTTTATAAAACAGGAGTCATTACATTGTTCGGTCACCTACCACCCGAGCTCCGCGAGGACTAAACTAAACTCGCAGATAAACATCCTATACATAAGCCTAACCATGTAACAAACATATGTGTAAACACTAAGCTGGGGACTCTGAAACCATAGGCTCATCAACTACTGGGGTCCTTGCCTCAAGTGTCTTACGGGCTAGTATCTCATGTACAATGGCAAAATTGGATGATTCTGACTTAAAACACAAACATTATTGCCAATATCAACACAATCGTGGAAATCGTTAACTTGGGTAAGCAAATCACGGAATTACATGGCAGAAATAATCTTCGCCTACTTTGTGTTTTAGAACGCACCTTCTTAGCAATGTACAACTTTTGCTACTGTGACGCTAGATGAATGAGTGTGTGGTGCATAAAACTCTTTCTACGAAACATTCATGTTTGCAGAGAGCAATGGTACTGAGTTGTGAATGGTTCTACACGGCTTGGCTGAAAATTTACAGTGATACTTTAGTGTAGAACTATCATATTTTTAGTTTGAGAAGATGTGTCTGTGATATCATTAAAATATGTATTTTGAAAATTATGAACATTATTATCCACCCTGGGATCAAAACAAAATGTCCACGTTTTCTATGTCTAAGGTTTGAAAAATTATTTCGATACAAACTAAAGAAATAACCTTGTCCATCCATTTACAGGAAATTAATAAAATTCATAGTTAAAATAATTAAAGTATCAATAACTGAACAGGTAAGAAATAAATACTGGAAATTACGTCAGTATGTATTAAAATAAGTAAGGCACTTATAACACGATGTCCTATCAGTGTGAAGTTATGTCACGAACATGTAAATGTGTGTACTGTATATATTTAATGTATACCTAGATACTACATATTCCTTGTAGGCTTGATTGAAGAATCCTTTCTAGAATTTCTTGAAAACGCGAAATTGTTGCCGCAATCCCGTAGACTTGCATGTGTCACTCACATGAGACACAGCTGATTCCAAGGTCCGGTGACTGGGTCAATGTCCATGAAAATCATGAGTACAGCAAACTGCTGCTCCTGTCAGTAAACTCAAAGACTCTGGGGTTCACTGGGTACACTAGTGCATCCACCACAACATACCTCAGAATGCTGAGACCATCTCTCATGATCGAAGGTGTGTCATCACTGGGTAGGTGCTGGGGTGCTGGTAACTGGGAGTTACTCACGCCATACGAAAGAATTTTTTTGACAGGATGTTGATTGATGAGTAGTCACAACAACTGCAGTCACGTCCTGTCACACCCTGGGCAGTGAACGAATCATTTGCAGAAATTAATGTTCACTTCAGCTCACAGGATTTTGTACATCATCTTTAGATGACAAAACGAAAGAGACTCGACTATAACTTCTCACTACGGGATATATCACTACACTTGGATATTTCATGTAACAGGTCACTGTTTTTTGTTTTTCTTGTTTTGTAAAACACTGATGACTTGTTATGTAGAATGTGTATATAGACCGGAATGTTGTTACCCGTTACTGATTTCTTTGATTGTTGTAACATGTAACAGTAGTATAACGGTTTCTTTGTAGATCCGCTGCCACGTATATAACAATTCTTCTTCCTTGTAGTAGTAAATGTAACACATATAACAATATCTTTGATTGCTATTTCATATTTACGTTTACGTTCCATATATGGGCTCTTCTTCTTCACCAGTATGCCACAATAATGGGGAGGATAATTCCTCTACCTTTACCAACTGTCATATATGCAACAACCTTCCTGGGTTGTCATCACTTGTAACAATCATTTGAGAAGCTATTTCGGATACACGTCCAGATGTAGATCAACCGTATGTTAATCACTGTAGCTATGAGTACGACGGCTATGTAAATAGACCGTTTAATCATGTCCTTTCGGTGTGTGAGGGATTGAGTCGTAATTTCTATGAGTGGTGACCCATCGAGGGAGAACGGAATAGGCACGACGTCCTCCCTCGCGGAAAGACGGAACCATCCACGATGGCTCTCAAATAACGTCCTCCTCTAGTCAAGGATATCAAACTACTGCCTGCTTTAGGTGGCCAGGGAGCCGGCTACTTAATGCCTTAACTCAGCATAATATGACGAAGCTCCCCGTTGGCACACCTTTCGTTCATCCAAGCATTTACAAAACAGGATCTTCAGGGGCTCGGCAAGCTCGTTACTGAACTCTTTTAGCATTCTAGGATGCACCATGTCAGGGCCGGGACTCTTATGGACCTTTAGCTTTGACAGAATACTCCGGCTACATCAACGCTCTCTCCACCCTAGAAGTGCCATCCGTCAGTGACCTTCACCACCAAGCACCGGAAAGGTTTGGCAGCCAACTAATGCACCACCCTCGCCATCGCCACCTCCTGCCGCCCCCCACCCACCTCGCGCAGTCCGCCACTACAACAAAATTCAGCCCTTCAGAGCCACACCGATAGATATAAGAATAGCACCATCCCATCTATTGTTAAAATAATAAACAACTCCTGATTTATGTACTGTACAGCCCTGTAAATGTATTCAATGCATATTATATCATTATGTCTAAATTAAATGTAAGTCTGTATATTTTCAGCCACCGGCTGCAACCCTATTAATAAACCGTTTATTATTATTATTATTATTATTATTATTATTATTATTATTATTATTATTAACCCAATAAGTGGGGTTTGTTTGGTCAGGTTCTATTAGGTTCTAGGCAATATCGTGTTAATTTATGCAATGGTGAGGAGTTGTCGTTTCGTACACTTCTGGTCCGGGTAACTTCTGGTCCGCTACACCGGCTTCCGTCTATTCTCCGAAACTATCTCGTTTACTAAACTCACCGTATGTTGATTACATGGTGACGGTTCCTCCTAGGTAGGAGGACAAGGGGCGAGGTTTGTCTCACTGTCCACTGGTTTTGGAGTACCAAATTTGCCCCCACTACTTTCCCACTATATATAACCCACCAATTCCGTCTCCACAAAACTACAGGAAGATCTAAACAAATTTTTCAAATGGTCTGAAAAAGGGCAGATGAAATTCAATGTGGACAAATGTAAAGTACTGTACTTAGTCTAGGAGATGTAAACAGAGAAACCAGATACCAGATGAATAACGGTGTTATCGAGAAATCCGACTGTGAGAAAGATTTAGAAGTAATGATAAGTAGGGATCTTAAACCACGTAAACAATGTGTATTTGTTCGAAACAAGGCTAACAAAGTACTTGAGTTCATCCAAAGGAGTGTTAGTTACAAAACTAGCGAGGTTATCCTAAAACTATATCTTAAGCTTGTGAGACCTCACTTGGATTACCCATTTCAATTCTGGTCAGCGTACTACAGAATGGATATAGAATCCCGAGAAGGAATTCAGAGGAGAATGACAAGACTAATCCCGAGCATTAGGAACCTTGATACAGAGACAGGTTAACTATGGCGACATCGACTGGAGAAACGAGTTCACCCCAAATGACTTGAATAACCCTGCTACTCTTTTTGTAGAAACTCTGAGAGATAATTTTCTGTTCCAACATGTTAGAGACCTGACACATTACAGAGGGGAGCAGACACCCAAGCCACTAGACCTCATCATAAAAAACAAGAAGGGTATGGTGGCCAAACTGGAACACCTTGCCCCAGTTGGCACCAGTCACCATATAGTGTTGTCATTCAGATCTAACTGTTACCTAGTTCAAGATAAGGCCAGGCCAAGGTGCAGATATTACAAGATAAATTACATCGGGATGAGGGAAGAGATGAGGGGTATCCACTGGCCTGACTCATTAAGGCACAAGAACGCAGACACTACGCTGAATATCATAACAAGTAAAGTGACCCATTTGATCGATAAATATATACCCAAGACCAAACCCAGTGCCTCTAGGAATACGAGGGGATCCCTACACATGAACCATGCGGCGGTCGACAAAATTTAGAAGACAACCCAGAAATTCAAAACGTGGGTTGGGTCAAACGATGAGCAGCACAGAATGATGTATGCAAAAGCCAGAAACTAAGCAAAGGCAGAGTGTAGAAGTGCTGAAAAGGAGTTCCAGAGGCTGGTTGCAAGCGAGGTCAAGTCAAACCCAAAGGCGTTTTACCGCTATGCAAAGTCGAAATTAAAAACGCGAGTAGGAGTATCAGACCTGAGGCTTGAAGATGGTAGTTATGTAGATTCTGACCTTCCTGTGTTTGAGGACAGACGGTTCGACACATCACTGACCCACATTGTGTTCACAGAAGAGGTTATTAGAAATAAACTGTCAAATAATAATAATAATAATAATAATAATAATAATAATAATAATAAAGAACCACAAAGAAATACAAAATGAAAAAAAATCAAAAGTGAGAAACAATATATGTATGTTGTGTTGTCAATAGTAAGAGAAACAATTGAGATCCTGCAATTGTGTGTAAATGAGGCAGAAAGTCAGATCATCAACCTGGGACTTGGTCACAATTTTCGTGATGCCATGTGGCAGCAGGGTCTACCATAGACAACACATTATGCTTCCAATATCTTCCCAGGTGGTAGTACCTCCCTGTTTGGTAGCTGCCTAATACCTACTACCTATCAATGGGTATATCCGGGATACGGGCGGACATTTACCCAGAAGGGCCATGTGGGCCCCTTCACATTCATACATAATGGCCCTGCAAGAGAAATTGTTGGGTCTCATATAGAACCGCTAGATAGGACCCAGACGGTTCTTGGATACAAATGTCTGCAGGTACCGTACTGGCCCCTTCTGGGAGTTGAGACGATCTGTAACAGTGGCAAGTGAGAGTGGGTGGACACCTCCAGCCTCAACTCTTCCCATAATCGTTAATGAAGGCTTCTTACCTGAAGGTGAAGTAAGTGATCCAACCCTTCCAGTCCACCTCATAATTTATACGTTTATGAGGAGCTTAAATAACTCATTTTAATACAAAGACTGAAAGTGTAGGCGGTCCCATTTGTCCTACTGGTCCCATAGGTCCCACTGGTCCCATAGGTCCCACTGGTCCCATTTGTCCTACTGGTCCCATAGGTCCCACTGGTCCCATTTGTCCTACTGGTCCCACAGGTCCCACTGGTCCCATTTGTCCTACTGGTCCCATAGGTCCCACTGGTCCCACTTGTCCTACTGGTCCCATAGGTCCCACTGGTCCCATTTGTCCTACTGGTCCCATAGGTCCCACTGGTCCCATAGGTCCCACTGGTCCCATTTGTCCTACTGGTCCCATAGGTCCCACTGGTCCCATTTGTCCTACTGGTCCCATAGGTCCCACTGGTCCCATTTGTCCTACTGGTCCCATAGGTCCCACTGGTCCCACTGTCCTACTGGTCCCATAGGTCCCACTGGTCCCATTTGTCCTACTGGTCCCATGGGTCCCACTGGTCCCACTTGTCCTACTGGTCCTGGGTCCCACTGGTCCCACTTGTCCTACTGGTCCCACTGGTCCCACTGGTCCCACCCACCGGTCCCTTGTCCTACTGGTCCCATAGGTCCCACTGGTCCCACTGGTCCCATGGTCCCACTGGTCCCACTTGTCCTACTGGTCCCTGGTCCCACTGGGTCCCACTTGGTCCCATAGGTCCCACTGATCCCACTTGTCCCTGGTCCCACTTGTCCTACTGTCCCATGGTCCCACTGGTCCCATTTGTCCTGGTCCCATGGGTCCCACTGGTCCCACTGTCCTACTGGTCCCTGGTCCCACTTGTCCTACTGGTCCCATAGGTCCCACTGGTCCCATTTGTCCTACTGATCCTCCCACTGGTCCCTTGTCCTACTGGTCCCATAGGTCCCACTGGTTCCATTTGTCCTACTGGTCCCATAGGTCCTACTGGTCCCACAGGTCCCACTGGTCCCATTTGTCCTACTGGTCCCAGGTCCCACTGGTCCCATTTGTCCTACTGGTCCCAGGTCCCCATAGGTCCCACTGGTTCCATTTGTCCCTACTGGTCCCATAGGTCCTACTGGTCCCACAGGTCCTGTCCCACTTGTCCTACTGGTCCCATTAGGTCCCATTTGTCCCACTGATCCCACTGGGTCCTGGTCCCACTTGTCCTACTGGTCCCATAGGTCCCACTGGTTCCATTTGTCCTACTGGTCCCATAGGTCCTACTGGTCCCACTGGTCCCACTGGTCCCATTTGTCCTACTGGTCCCACAGGTCCCACTGGTCCCATTTGTCCTACTGGTCCCATAGGTCCCACTGGTTCCATTTGTCCTACTGGTCCCATAGGTCCCACTGGTCCCACTTCCCACTGGTCCCATAGGTCCCACTGGTTCCATTTGTCCTACTGGTCCCATAGGTCCTACTGGTCCCACTGGTCCCACTGGTCCCACTGTCCACTGGTCCCTGGTCCCACTGGTCCCACTTGTCCTACTGGTCCTGGGTCCCACTGGTCCCACTTGTCCTACTGGTCCCACAGGTCCCACTGGTCCCCATTTGTCCTACTGGTCCCATAGGTCCCACTGGTCCCATTGTCCTACTGGTCCCATAGGTCCCACTGGTCCCCATTTGTCCTACTGGTCCCATGGTCCCACTGGTCCCATTTGTCCCACTGGTCCCATAGGTCCCTGGTCCCACTTGTCCCACTGGTCCCATAGGTCCCATGGTGTCCTGGGTCCCCATAGGTCCCACTGGTTCCCATTTGTCCTACTGGTCCCACAGGTCCCACTGGTCCCATTTGTCCTACTGGTCCCATAGGTCCCACTGGTCCCATTTGTCCTACTGGTCCCATAGGTCCTACTGGTCCCACAGGTCCCACTGGTTCCATTTGTCCTACTGGTCCCACAGGTCCCACTGGTCCCATTTGTCCTACTGGTCCCATAGGTCCCACTGGTCCCATTTGTCCTACTGGTCCCATAGGTCCTACTGGTCCCACAGGTCCCACTGGTTCCATTTGTCCTACTGTTCCTATACGGACAGTGTGAATGCAGTGCTCTTGTTAACCCTCCTTCACTTCCCCAACTGTACAGGTAAGTGCACACTCAGCTGGGTCAACTGAGTGTGTCTCGGGCACGAACCGATGAAGCTTGCGGCAGGAGGTGAGAACTGTATCAAGTTTAGTTTTTTAATGAAACCTTTAAAATTATATTTAACTCAGAAAACTAAAATAATTTAAACTCAGAACAGACTTTATGACGGTCATGAGGGGAGGTAATGCGAGGTTACAGGTCAAGTTGTGGTCAACCATAACTATTTTGGCTTTACAACAGAGTACAACAAATCTGTTATTATAACAAATTAAACATATCTGTAAAATAGGAATTTAAGACAATATTAAATGTTTTAACCATTTTAATGATTCTGTATTTTCCATTTTAGTATCTTAAAGTACTGTACTTTATATATCTAATACACAGGCAGACACCATTCTGGCATCAATTTTTAATTGCATTAACTATCTTTAAGATTATTACTGTATTTCAAAGTAAATGAACAAAGGTGATCCTTGGCACACAGATATACTGTACACTGCGTGGCTTCAGGCTTCACTGGTAACATTACCCAGACGCTCTAAGCTTGGAAGATACAGTACAGGACCGGCATCATCAACAAGCTAAAGTTGTACAAGAACTAATCCCTAGTAAAAGCAGTAGACGGCAGGCAGACTCTCGCCCACAATCATTTAATATATTCAGAATACGGTGGTCGCTTTTGAGAATCTCCCAGTGAAAAAAAAAATTAAATTAGTTTCATGAAATAGAAACATTTACAGAAACATGACTACAAGACTTGTCAAATTCGTTGTCACACAAGTGTTGGTGGCGAGGCATAGAAAGCTGTGTTGGTTACTATGACAACAAGAACCACCGCCACCAGCAGGGCCACAGGACACGTCGCCTCTCCAGCGTCGTGTTCAACCACGTCAAGTGACTCCTGCGGCGACAGTCCTTGAGGCGTGGTTGGGCCGGTGTAGTGAGAACCTGTGTGGGAGAAGTAAATATTGGTTAATGACGTTAGGAAGTATTGCTATAGGTTATTATTAAGGTTAGGAAGTAGTGGAAAAGATTAAGCATCTTGATAATGTTAAGGAATCTGGGAAAGCTTCACAGTATGAAAATAATAGTAAGGTCTAAGATATACGTTTAGTAAACGATGAAGTGATAACAATTTGAAGATATTCTGAGAAGAAGAAACAATAAACAAACTTTTGGATATGTTAACGACAAAATAATAATGATGCATACAAGCATTTGTGAACGCACCTAATACAGTGGACTTTAGGAAGGTATAATCAATCTGGAGATATATATATATATATATATATATATATATATATATATATATATATATATATATATATATATATATATATATATATATATATATATATATAGAGCTACAGCAAGAGAAGAGAGTGAGTTTATTATTAAACACAAAATGTTGTATTGTTGAAGTGATCCGCCAGCCTCGGATAGTCCAAGAGCAATGTAATGCTTGTTGAATACTCCTGTAGACATACTATTACTGATTAGAGACCAAGAGTAAGCCTAAACAAAGGACCCTCCTGGATATAAGCAGCTGACAGCTTTGTTGGTTATCCTTGGTCAAGTTGCCTTACTATTTACCACTGTTGTTTACCTGCACTGTCTTGGTACACAGTTTACTCTCACGGCCTACCTGCACCGTATACCTACGTTGTCTACTATACATATATGCTGAACTGTATAACTGCAGTTATATACACACCTATCCAACTATAGACCTGAATGACAAATTTACTGAACAAATATTATTATTCATTTCTATTAGATAATTGAATAAGATTTACCTTCAAAGCTGGAAGACTTGCCTAGATGCTGCTGATCCATGATGTCGTTAACACCTTTAGTATGATGAAAACTGTGGTATTTCTTGCTTTCTGCAGGAACATGGAACAAACTCTTGTTATTACACCTGTTACCAGTGTACAGTGTATCATATTACTGCTTGATAATATCGGTAACACTTTTAAGTAATTTGCTGCATTGTACATAGTTTACACTTAACTTTCAAACAGTTCTCCATATCCTTGACGGTCATCTAATACACGATCACTAAATTGTCAATTGTCTAGAAATAGGTAATGATATAATTTGTACATTATATACATAAACAATGTCTGGCTGAGTTAGGGTGACAACATATTTTGGCATTGCGCTACAATTATCTTTAGTTGAACGTGAAAGTTGGCCCCAAAGGCCCGACGGTTCATTAGGGGCAGTGTGGATACAGCACACTGTATACTAAGTCTTGGCACACAAGGGGGCAGCGTAACCAGCTGTGTATTCGACCGCCTTCACTCCTCACCAAATGCCAAGTATCAACGTACTGTAGGTGTAATGGTAGTGTGGCCAGATAGACTAACACTGCCAAGCTTTATGTGCAGGAAAGCGATACACACGGGCCAGACTGATGCTAGCCGATCCACGTGCCGCCTACTTGATACTGGTAAAATATTTACTACTGGCCGCCGCTACCCAAGCACCAAGTAACTGAAATGATCCATACATGAACTTAATCCTTTAGAGGGCAGCTCCACACTTAGGTGGAGTTTGTAGCCTCGAGGTGAACTGTTTACTGTATACCTCAATTGCGTACTTCTATGCCACAGCTTTAATTAACAAAATCATTTGATTTTCTGGTGGACCAAACTCCAACACATGCCGAGATAAATCAGGATATAGTGTCTTTGTGTTGTAACGTAAGGATATTGAATGACCTCTTTTTAAATATACTACAGTATTCTGGACGAAGAAAGACACGATTCTTTGACGTGGGAGACTTCTTCTCTGAACACATTTTCACACACCACAAAAATTTAATCACATCTTCATACGGGGGAAAAAATAGGCGGCCACTACTTTTTAATTTATCAAAGAATGCATTTGGTTGTAGAGACTGAAGAATAATATTATGTAATATAGTTAACAGATGCCTATAATTGTTGTAACTAGCCTTTCTGCTCATGTAACTGTTGTCGAGTCGGCTGGCTGACGTGGCTGAACTTGGTTCGAAACTTGAGCCGAGATAGCTTCGTTCAGTCAGCCGATATATATATATACAGTACTCGTGGGCGGCCTCGGGAGTCTACATCGGATCTTTGAGGTGGGAAGTCTCCTTCGGAGCTCTGATGGAGGGCCGACAAATGTTGGTCCTTCCAAGCTCATTGCGAGATATGAGCCAGCGTTGCTGGCAAACCGAGTTTCACGATGACCCAATCGGGTCGTCGTCATGAATCAACTCTGAGTAAAGAGTCAGGTTGGCTGACAACAGACAGACATTCGGGGAGGGCTAGTGGTGACTTCCCAGCCTGAATGGTGTGCGAGTAAGAAGACCTGAGGAAAGAAGACCTGAGGAAAGAAGACCCGAGGAAAGAAGACCCGAGGAAAGAAGACCTGAGGAAAAAAGACCCAAGGAAAGAAAAAATACATCAGCTCCGGCCGAAATAGCCGAAAGGCGAAGTGGCCAGTAATCTTCAAACAAGAAAAAGAAGAGGCGGCCTCGGAATGGCCACGACTGCTGGACTCGGAGCTGTAAAGTGCCTTTTCTCTGCTGCCTGGTTGAGAAACCTGCAATTTCGTTGTGAATGGGCACTCAATCCTAGTGGTTGGCCTTACCAATAAGAACATAAAAATGGAGGAAACTGAAGCGGGCTTATTGGCCCACACTGGGCAGTCTCATTTACACCCAACCCCTATTGCTCATACAGTATATCCGTCCAACCTATGTTTGAAGCTATCCAGCGTACTCGAGTTAATGATGATGTTCGGTAACTTGTTCCATTCATCCACTCCACAATTTCCAAACCAATGTTTACCTATTTCGCGCCTAAATCTAAATTTGTCTAATTTAAAACCATTGTTACGAGTTCGCTCCTGGTTGGAAAGTTTGAGTACCTTCGTTATGTCCCCTTTGTTTAGCCCTGACTTCCATTTATACACCTCTACCATATCGCCCCTCACTCTACGTCTCTCGAGGGAGTGCAAATTAAGATGCCTTAACCTGTCTCTGTACTCAAGGATCCTAATGCCCGGGATTAGCCTTGTCATTCTCTTCTGAATTCTTTCCAAGGATTCTATATCCATTCTGTAATACAGTGACCAGAATTGAACCGTGTAAACCAAGTGAGGTCTCAAAAGCGCAAGATATAATCTTAAGATGACTTCGCTAGTCTTGTAACCAACACTCCTTTGTATGAGCCCAAGTACTTTATTAGCCTTGTTTCGAGCAAATACATATTGTTTACTTGGCTTAAGATTCCTACTTATCATTACACCTAAATCTTTCTCACATTCAGATTTCTCGATAACATCTTTGATCATCTGATATCTGGTTTCCCTGTTTACATCTCCTATACTGAGTACGTTACATTTGTCCACACTGAATTTCATCTGCCATTTTTCAGACAATCGAAAATTTTTAGATCTTCTTGTAGTTTTGCAGAGTCCTCGTCAGATTTAATTACACGTCCTATTTTAGTGCCATCAGCAAATTTACTTATGTTGCCGTGTACGCATATATCTATGTCGTTTATGTATATAATAAATAATCATGGTCCAAGTACTGAGCCTTGGGAAACTCCACTAGTGACGTTACTCTAATGGGATTTAGTGCCGTTAATGCTCACTCGCTGTTTCCTGTCCTGTAACCACGCACTAATCCATTTTAGAATATCTCCTCCGATGCCATGAGCCTACACTTTTCTCATTAGTCTTTCATGTGGAACTCGATCGAGGGCTTCGCTAAAGTCAAGATATACCACATCATAGTCGTGCCCGTTTGTCCACTGATTCAAAAACAGCTGAAAAGAATGTTAATAGATTAGTTAGACATGAACACCCACTTGTGAAGCCATGTTGGGAATCATTGATCAACTTGTGCTTCTCCAGGTGATTTCGGATATAGTTTGAAATTATGGCTTCCAGTAATTTGCCTGCAATTGATGTTATACTTATTGGACTGCAGTAAGAGGATAGTGATCTATCTCCCTCCTTGAAAATCGGTATTACATTTGCTATCCTCCAGGATTCTGGTACTACACCTGTTTTTGTGGACATGTTAAACAACTTTGCTAAGGGCATACTCAGCTCTTCCTTACATTCCTTTAATACTCTGGCAAATATCTCCTCGGGACCCGGTGACTTATTAGGTTTTAGCTTGTCTATTTGCTTACTAACGTGGTTACTAGTCACTACTATCTCGCTTAATCTATTTTCTTCACTATCTCTGTATGGAGTCGGTGCCTCAGGTATCATGTTTAGTTTTTCGGTGGTGAAAACTGTTGAAAAATATATATTCAGATTATTGCACGTGATCTTCTGAAGAAGTCAGGAATATGAACAACCTTTGAGTGTATATCAAAGGTTCATAATACCACAAGAAATATACCAGTCTTATCTCCTGCAAATACAACTTGTCAGTCAGTAACAGTGAACATAAGATAACACTATCTTCCACGAGACCGGTAATGTGTGTGTGTGTGTGTGTGTGTGCACAAGACAAGGGAAGTAATGAAGTAATTTACAAAGAACATATATGAGCATCGACCATCATTAGTCATAAATGGAGGACATATTACATCAGGGGAGCGACACTTATAGTGCTCACGACTATTGCAGGAACTAGACGAGAGAAACAAATCGCGTCACCTTTCTTATGTGTTGGTAAGGTCGCTGGAGGTTCCCCAGTAGCCTCGGTCGTCTCCGCATCATCCTGCTCCTCCAAGCCTCCGTTGAAGTGGGACTTGGGCGGGTCGATCTCTGTGGACGGCAGTGGGCGGCTGTTCCAAATCATTTCAGCAATATATAGGTAATGATGATAATTTACAGCAATCTAATGGGTAAACAAGTGAGGTGGTGTGTGGGCAGTTGTCGTGGGTCTTAAGTGTGGGCAGTTGTCGTGGGTCTTAAGTGTGGGCAGATGTCGTGGGTCTTAAGTGTGGGACGTGGGTCTTAAGTGTAGGGAGGTGTCGGGGGTCTTAAGTGTGGGCAGATGTGTGGGTCTTAAGTATGGGGAGATGTGTGGGTCTTAAATGTAGGCAGATGTCGTGGGTCTTAAGTGTGGGCATATGTCGTGGGTCTTAAGTGTGGGACGTGGGTCTTAAGTGTAGGGAGGTGTCGGGGGTCTTAAGTGTGGGGAGGTGTCGTGGGTCTAAAGTGTGGGGAGGAGAGAGTGGCGGGTGGAGAAGAGGGTGGTGGAGGGGGTGGGTGAGGAGAGGGTGGGTGGAAGAGAGGGTGGTGAGTGGAGGAGAGGGTGGTGGGTGGAGGAGAGGGTGGTGGGTGGAGGAGAAGAGAGATGAGCAGTGTTTTAGGAGCTGTGAAACAGTTACTGTAGACAGCACCTCTATCAATTAAATAATCCTGATTTGTTTTGAAGAGTTGAATAAGGAATAATAACATCTTAAATCCAACAGAATTATGTCTCTATTTCAAGTGCTCTTCTGAAGATCAAAGTAAACGGTATTGTTATGGGTAGAATATACAATTAAATTACAAAATGGGTAAGTACAACACTCTTAAGATACTCAAAGACTAAGATTTAGTAAGAAAGTTAACCTAAGTTCCACTCATGAAAAAAAAGTAGCGTTCCCGAGAGCAATAATAATCAGTAACAAATGTAATACGTCACTAGGCTCGTAAATGGATTTTTATTATAACTATACTTAATAGTAATATATACAAAATACACACAATTAAAAAAGTTATACAAAAGTTAAAAAAATCACTACAAACAGGAAACTGAAAAGAACACTGTGATGGTCTTCCATTGAAGTGTAAATAACACTTAGAAAGATCACTGGCCAGGAAGGAGTGCCGTCGTCAGTACAAAAAAAAAATGGAATGATGGTTTACGCCTGAAAAGTTTATTAGTGCGACCTCATACAAACACAGAAGGCAGAAGGACGAGACCCTAACCAATGCTAGACTATTAAATTCTTCCAAGATTTAATACACTTTCTATATAATTATTAAACGAGAGTAGTCTATGCACGTATTCAATGGAATACCCCTGGTATATGTAAATAACAAAAGGTCTACTATTAGAATTTAACCACGTTACTATCCTTTACTGGATGTAGCCCTAAATCTCCATTTTATACTGCAAGGATGTTTTATACCACCCAAAATGATACAGATAGAACAAATAACCAGACCAAGATTGTCCCTGCAGATTAGCACCGGTGACAATATTAAGTCATTATCAATTAGACTTAATTTACACCCATACAATATAACATAGATATGGATATGGTAATTTGAAACCTCTGGACCTTCAAAAATTTAAGAAAATAGCCAGTACGTCTGTTAGGTTTGCTGTCGTCAAGCTCTCTGCCGCGTGGCATCACGACATTGACCAGTCTCCGAGACCTGGCATCCTCATCTGACCGTTTTACCGGCAAAAAACACTTATACATTACATGGTTTTCTCCTAAACAACAAATCTATAATTATTTATATTTAGTGATTTTACTATTTTACTATGAGGTAGTTTTTCTATTAAATTTAGGTAACTAAGCAACATCACGTTGAAATATAGTTTCTGACTTGCTAGTAATTCGGGTGTTATCAGACAACCAAAGATACAGCGACCCCACCTGGGTCTCGTACTGGCAATACTTGGTAAAGTAAGGTTGTATGTAAAGGTGATTGTTATTGGCTGATTTATTTTCAGCTGTATCACTGAAGAAAATTTGATCTGAAAATCTTGTGGCAGCCCTCGTTCATAAATATAATTTCCTCATTATTTAAGCAAATATACGAACATTTGGAACTTCTCATGATCTTAAATAACAATGAACAGTTTATTATTATAACAATTCTACCTTTGGATTGTTCAATATTTATCCTGACAGTGATACATCCTTAAATAGATCCACCAATCACAATCACCTTTACATGCAGCCTTCCTTTACCAAGTATTGCCAGGGAAAGTGCGAGTACGAGCCCCAGGGTGGGGTCGGTGCATCTTTGGCGGACTGCTTTTAATACTTCTTAGTTTGGGTAAGAACACTGTCTTCACTTTTTGATGTGTGAGGTCTGCCACAAGTGAGGACAGTGTTGTTGTTGTTGTTGTAATACACTGTCCTCACTTGTTGATGTATGAGGTCTGCCACAAGTGAGGACAGTGTTGTTGTTGTAATACACTGTCCTCACTTGTTGATGTGTGAGGTCTGCCACAAGTGAGGACAGTGCTGTTGTATTATCAAACATTCCCGCGATCACAAAAATCAGCAGTGTGAGACACCCTGCATAACCTATTTGTCTGTGTCTCTCTCACCCTCTCCCTGTCTACCCCAACGTTACCATAGACCTTGATGGCTCCGTCAGTCTCTCCCAGGGAGTTCTTGGCCACGCAGCGGAAAGTACCGAAGTCCTCAGCTGTCACGTCTCTTATTCTCAGCTTCATGTGCGTCTTGTAGTAGCTCTCCTCCAGGATGGGCTCGTACCGCTTCCCTGCCAGGTGACGGACGATAAAAGCCCAGCCATTAGGTTACTGGATGAAGCACGAAGGTAGGTGCGGTGAGGAAGGGATTGTTAAGAAGGGGGTTGAACTAGGGAGTGTTGATAGGGTGGTTGAATTGGTTAGAGATTGTACGTTAATAGGAAGAAAAGTTGTCAGTTATTTGGGTAATATTAGAGATGGTTGAAATCTGGATATTTTCAGGGTCAGGTTTAGTACCGTCTCAGTGCGTACGTGCGTGAGTGTGCGTGTGTGTGCGCGCGCGCGCGTGTGTGTGTAGAGCCACACACAGGGTGGTGAAATGCGTCTAATGTGGCAGCATTATGTTAAGTGTTAAGGTGCAAGCACTGCTTGCTCCCTCTCGCTTTCAGCTGCCGCCGTTGGCTAGCCCTCGTGGCGAACAGGGAAGCAACTTGTCAGTACACGGCCTCTTCACCACGAAGACTCCTGCTGTGCCTCCTTGTGGCAACACACGGTAACTGGGTGCCTCGTGGGCCCAGGCTTGACCAGCAAGGGATCTCGGAGTAGCAGTGGGCCCCAGAGGGACAGCACATAGGCCCAATGGCATGTGGACACGTCCTGGCGCCTACCAACCACCGTGTTATGCTATTTCCAATAGAATAATAGAGTTGGTATTAACAACGTGTAAGGGTGGACTTAACTATTTAATAATCAAAACGTACAACACTGGTATGGCACACGGCAACACTCCCACGCCAACACTCCCACAACACACGGTCACACTGGACTCGCGCGCACGCACGCACACACACATACACTCACGGCAGGACTCCCACAGCACACACAGCTCACGGGAGAACTCCCACAGCACGCACAGCTCACGGCAGGACTCCCACAGCACGCACACCTCACGGCAGGACACCCACAGCACGCACAGCTCACGGCAGGACTCCCACAGCAAATACAAGCTCATGGCAGGATTCCCACACACACAGCTGCGCTCCCACAGCACGCACAGCTCACGGCAGGACTCCCACAGCACGCACACCTCACGGCAGGACACCACAGCTCACGGGTGACTCCCACACGCACAGCTCACGGCAGGACTCCCCACAGCACACACACAGCTCAAGGCAGGACTCCACAGCAGACACAGATCACGGCAAGAGTCCCACAGCACTCACAGCCTGTGGGCAGGTCTCCCACAGCACACACACAGCTCACACAGGACCCCACAGCACAGCCACAGCTCACGGCAGAACTCCCACAGCACACACAGCTCTCACTGCAGGACTCCCCACAGCACACACAGCTCACGGCAGGACTCCCACAGCACACACAGCTCACAGCAGGACCTACAGTAGACACAGATCACGGCAAGAGTCCCACAGCACCTCACAGCCCAGGCAGGTCTCCCCAGCACACACACAGCTCACGACAGGACTCCCCACAGCACACACAGCCCTGCAGGACTCCACAGCACACCCAGCTCACGGCAGGACCCCACAGCACACCCAGCTCACGGCAGGACTCCCCACAGCACACAGCTCACGGCAGGAACTCCCACAGCACACACAGCCACCGCAGACTCCCACAGCACACACAGCCTCACGGCAGGACTCCCACAGCACACATTGAAGCCCGCTGCAGGACCCTACAGCAGACACAGATCACGGCAAGAGTCCCACAGCACTACAGCTCAGGCAGGTCTCCCCACAGCACACACACGGCTCACGACAGACCACAGCACACACAGCTCACGGCACCCCACACCCAGCTCACGGCAGGACTCCCACAGCACACACACAGCTCACGGCAGGACTCTGGCCAGCACACACAGCTCACGGCAGGACTCCCCACAGCACACACAGCTCACGGTGGAAAATTCCCCACAGCACACACAGCTCACGGCAGGACTCCCCACAGCACACACAGCTCACGGCAGGACTCCTACAGCACACACAGCTCACGGCAGGACTCCCTGCAGCACACACAGCTCACGGCAGGATTCCCGCAGCACACACAGCTCACACGGCAGACTTCCCCACAGCACACACAGCCCACACGGCAGGACTTCCACAGCACACACAGCTCACGGCAGGATTCCCGCAGCACACACACAGCCAAGGCAGACTCCTGGGCCAGCATTGGGCCAGATCACGGCAAGAGGTCCCACAGCACTACAGCTCAGGCAGGTCTCCCACACACACACAGCTCACGACAGTGACTCCCACAGCACACACAGCCTCACGGGCAGGACTCCCACAGCACACCCAGCTCACGGCAGCAGACCTCCCCACAGCACACACAGCCACGGCAGGACTCTGCAGCACACACACAGCCATGGCAGGACTCTGGCAGCACAATTGGGCATGCAGGACTCCTGCAGCACACACAGCTCAGCGGCAGTGATCTCGCAGCACACACAGCTCACGGTAGATTCCCACAGCACACACAGCTCACGGCAGGATTCCCGCAGCAACACACAGCCTGGCAGGACCTCAGCAGCACACAGATCACGGCAAGAGTCTCCACAGCACTCACAGCTCAGGCAGGTTCTCCCCACAGCACACACACAGCTGGCCGACAGGACTCCCACAGCACACACAGCTCACGGCAGGATTCCCCAGCACACCCAGCTCACGGCAGGATTCCCAGCCACACACAGCACACAGCTCACGGCAGGATTCCCATGCACACACAGCTCACGGCAGGACTCCCACAGCACACACAGCTCACGGGGACTCCCAGCACACACAGCTCACGGCAGATTCAGCACACACAGCTCACGGCAGGACTCCCACACACAGCTCACGGCAGCTCACGGCAGGACTCCTGCAGCACACACAGCTCACGGCAGGACTCCCACAGCACACACAGCTCACGGCAGGACTCCCGCAGCACACACAGCTCATGGCAGGACTCCCACAGCACACACAGCTCATGGCAGGACTCCCGCAGCACACACAGCTCACGGCAGGACTCCCGCAGCACACACAGCTCACGGCAGGACTCCCACAGCACACACAGCTCACGGCAGGACTCCCACAGCACACACAGCTCACCGCAGGACTTCCACAGCACACACAGCTCACGGCAGAAGGTGTTGACCGGGCCAGCCAGGAGTCCGACTGCCGGGGTGATGGTTCGCGGCTGCCAACTGACCTCCGTCACATCACCTCGTAGTTCCGTCTCATTGGCCAGTTATGACGCGCTGTGACGTTGATTGGAGTCAGTATTGCTGCTTGACCCAGCCAACGAGTCCTTATCCAGCTGGTCCACAGTCATGGCATGACATTCGCCCCTGCTAAAACAAATTTTTCTTTTGGAAAGGAAATTTTCACAATTCTATGGCCCTGTTTCCAACGTTGGTTCATCTATTGATTATCTGTATCATTTACCATTAGTCTAGAAAGAAGATCAGCTCCGACATTTGCCTTTCCTCCGATAAATCGAATCGTGAAATTGAATTGTTGGAGGTATAACATCCACCGCGTTAATCTTGCATTTGAGTTTCTAGATGTGCAGAGGCTTGTTAAAGGCAGGTGATCTGTTTCTAAGGAAAACTTTTCACCATATAAAGAACAATTATTTTTTATACCTTCCACTACGGCTAATAATTCTTTTTCAACCGTGATGTAATTCTTCTCTGCGGTTGGTGGAGAAGTCTGTGCACGAGAATTGAGAGCAGCAGCAGCAGTGAGGGAGATGACAAAGACCATGACGTGGAGGATGAATTATTCCAGGCCCTGTACGAGACCCCCCGCAGGAATGAAAAAATACAGTGACCTTTTCAAGTGTTTCCTGGGGGAGAAACCTTCGAAAAAAGTTTTCGACAAGGACACCTTACCCCAACGAGGCCATGAGGGAGTTGTTCATCAAATACGACACCTCCATCCTCTCTAGTGCTTGTCGCTCATTCTGCCGTCTTGAGGCCCAAGAGCAGCAGAATGAGCGACAAGCATTTTGAAACGCTAGTATTCTTGTGGGGGAACAAATGAATAATTAAAATTATATAATATAAATCATAATAAATAATTGAAAATGAATGAATATTTTTTTTATTTTGCATATGTTACTCCCATACACAGGAGAATATGCGTTTCGGGGCTGCATTTGTACGTCACTGAAAACTCGTTGACGCTAGGTGTTGACGCTGACGCTAACGGCGTCAATTTATGAAATCGTTTACGCCGACACTGACGCATCAAATTTCTTGGCCGTTTACCCTGACGCTGGTGGCGCCACTTTTTTTGTTGATGCATACAACACTGTGCGTCCTATATACAATAACTATCCAATATTTCCCCTCTGTGAAGTATTGATGTCTTAGTCCCCCTTACCAGCCTCCCGGCTGAGTCTCCCCTGGCTGGTGTGTGGGGGAGGGCCAACTGTAAGCCTATATCACCAGTCGACCGCAACCATACACAATTACCTCCCTCACTCTCTCCACCTCTCACGGGTGTAACGAAAGAGAAAGAAGAAAAGGTATATAAATAAATAAGTAAATAAACAAAGAATTAAAAAGACATTGAAAGAGTAAGTTGGTACATAAAATATGTTACATTAAAGTAGGGACACATATAAACAATCCATTTGTTACAGTGGTGGTGGTAGCAGTAGAGTGTGTGAGCTGTGGAAGTGTGGTGGTTGTGGTGGTAAAGTGTGTGAGGTGTGGTGGTTGTGGTGGTAGTGTGTGCGAGGTGTGGTGGTTGTGGTGGTAGAGTGTGTGAGGTGTGGTGGTTGTGGTGGTAGTGTGTGTGAGGTGTGGTGGTAGAATGTGTGATGTGTGGTGGTAGAATGTGTGATGTGTGGTGGTAGAATGTGTGATGTGTGGTGGTAGAATGTGTGAGGTGTGGTGGTGATAGTAGTAGAGTGTGTGAGGAGTGGAAGTGTGGTGGTAGAGTGTGCGAGGTGTGGTGGTTGTGGTGGTAGAATGTGTGAGGTTTAGTGGTTGTGGTGGTACAATGTGTCAGGTGTGGAGAGAGAGAGAGCTTTACTCACCTGACACTATCATGTCACCGTTAGCGTTGGTCCAATAGTTGATACTCTTGGGGTAAGCTTCTGTGTGGCACTCAATGGTCAGGTCCTGGCCCACGTAAGCACCCTCCAGCTGCTGTGGCACCCCAGTCATAGGAGGGACTGTTACATAAAAAAACACTCGTAACTATTGATGTTTTAACTCCGGGTTTCTTAATTAGCATGAAAATTTTAACCTACAAGAAAACATATTTTTGTAGACGGAAATGAGGTTGGATTCTAAAGAATGGGGTGGTGGTGGTAGTGTGTGAAGTGTGGTAGTAGTAGTGTGTGAGGTGCGGTGGTAGGGTGTGCGCAGTGTGGTGGTAGTAGTGTGTGAGGTGTAGTGGTGGTAGGGTGAGTGAAGTGTGGTGGTAGTAGTGTGTGAGGTGTAGTGGTGGTAGAGTGTGTGAAGTGTGGTGGTAGTAGTGTGTGAGCTGTAGTGGTGGAAGGCTGTGCGAGTTGTGGTGGTGGTGGTAGGATGTGTGAGGTGTGGTGGTGGTAGTGTGTGAGGTGTGGTGGTGGTAGTGTGTGAGGTGTGGTGGTAGAGTATGTGAGGTGTGGTTGTAATGGCCCCTGTCTCATCAACAGAAGTATTATATAAATGGGTTATTTACATCTGATTTATATTGAGATTCATCCCTGTAACTTTAAACTGGCTATGATGTGACATGTTCAATGCACGTGATAAAGTGTGCCCACGGGAAGCTACGTCATACTATGCTGAGTAAAGGCATAAGTAGCCAGCTCTCTGGCCACCTGAAGCGAGCAGTAGTTTGATATCCTTGACTAGAGGAGGACGTTATTTGAGAGCCGCAGTGGATGGCTCCGTCTTCCCTCGAGGGAGAGCGACGCGTCTATTCCGTTCTCCCTCGATGGGTCACTACTCAAAGTCACTCACACCAACTAACATCGAACGGACGTTGATCCACGTTTATATTACATAAACGCCGTCCTTTCTTCTCACACTCATAAATAGTGGAACTTACGGTTGATCTACACTCAGGAAATATATAAACATAATACTTTTCTAATAAAACAAGAAACTTCGATTGGGTTTCGTTACTAAAGCCCAATATAATATATGTGAACCAACCTGGTTAATTGGGAATTAACCAACCGTTTCATATAGGTGGGAGCGGTGGGACTTCGAGGGGGGACGAAGTACCAATTCCATTCTCCCTCGATGGGTCACTACTGAGAGAGTAGCACTCCTAAACTTACATGGAACGGAGGGGAAAGTAACCCCCTTTCTCTCTCTTCACGCTCATAGATAGCGGAAGACATGGTGACACTTACATGGTGGTAGAGTGTGTGTGAGTGGTGGTGGTGGTAGAGTGTGTGTGAGTTGTGGTGGTGGTGGTAGAGTTTGAAGTGTGGTGATAGTGGTAGATTATGTGACGTGAGGTGTGGTGGTGGTAGAGTTTGTGAGGTGTGGTGGTAGAGTTCGAAGTACAGTGATGGTAGAGTGTGTGTGAGGTGTGGTGGTGGTGGTAAAGTTTGAGGTGTGGTAGGGGTGGTAGAGTATGTGAGGTGTGGTGGTGGTGTGTGAGTGAGTGTGTGTGGTAGTTTGATGTGGGTGGGTGGTGGTAGAGTGTGTGTTAGGTGTGGTGGTGGTGGTAAAGTTTGATGTGTGGTGGTGGTAGAGTGTGTGTGTTAGGTCTGGTGGTGGTGGTAAACTTTAAGGTGTGGTGGTGGTAGAGTATGTGAGGTGTGGTGGTGGTAGAGTGTTTGAGATGTGTGGTAGAGTGCATGAGGTGTGGTGGTGGTGGAGCACGTGGGGTGTGGTGGTAGAGTGCGTGAGGTGGTGGTAGAGTGTTGAGGTATGGTGGTGGTAGAGTGCGTGGTATGAGGTGTGTGGTGGTGGTGTGAGGTGGTGGTGGTAGAGCGTGAGGTGTGGTGGTAGAGTATGACTGCATGTGTGGTGGGAAAGTGAATGAGGTGTGGTGGTGGTGTGGAGTGCGTGAGGTGTGGTGGTAGAGTGCGTAAGGTGTTGTGGTGGTAGAGTGTGGAGGTGTGGTGGTGGTACAGTGTTTGAGGTATGGTGGTGGTAGTGCGTGTGGTGGTGGTAGAGTGCATGAGTTGTGGTGGTGGTGCAGTGTGAGGTATGGTGGTGGTAGAGTGCGTGAGGTGGTAGTGGTAGAGTTCATGAGTTGTGGTGGTGGTGCAGTGCGTGAGGTGGTGGTAGAGTGTGTGAGGTGGTAGTGGTAGAGTGCGTGAGGTGTGGTGGTGGTAGTGTTTGAGGTGTGGTGGTGGAGTGCGTGAGATGTGGTGGTAGAGTGCGTGAGGTGTGGTGGTGATTGAGTGTTTGAGGTATGGTGGTGGTAGAGTGCGTGAGGTGTGATGGTGATTGAGTGTTTGAGATGTGGTGGTGGTAGAGGGAATGAGGTGTGGTGGTGGTAGAGTGCGTGAGGTGTGGTGGTGGTGGTGGTGGTGGTGGTGGAGCGCGTGAGGTGTGGTGGTAGAGTGCGTGAGGTGTTGTGGTGGTTCAGTGTTTGAGGTATGGTGGTGGTAGAGTGTGTGTGAGGTGTGGTGGTAGAGTGCGTGAGGTGTGGTGGTGATAGAGGTGTGTGAGGTGTGGTGGAGGTGGTAGAGTGTTTGTGAGGTGGCGGTGGGTGTGTATGTGTGTGTGTGTGTGTGTGTGTGGTGGTGGTGTGTGTGTGTGTGTGGTGTGGTGTGTGTGTGTGTGTGTGTGTGGTGTGGTGGTGTGTGTGTGTGTGTGGTGTGGTGGTGGTGTGTGTGTGTGTGGTGGTGGTGTGTGGTGTGGTGGTGGTGGTGTGTGTGTGAGGTGTGTGGTGGTGGTGGTGGTGGGTGTGTGTGTGTGTATGTGTGTGGGAGGTGTGGTGGTGGTGGTGCTAAAGTGTGTGTGAGGTGTGGTGGTGGTGGTGAGGTGTGGTGGTGGTGGTAGTAGTGTGTGTGTGTGTGTGTGTGTGTGAGTTTTGGTGGTGGTGGTTGAAATGATAAAGTGTGTGAAGTGTGGTGGTGGTAGGGTTTGTGAGTTGTGGTGGTGGCGGTAGTAGAGTGTGTCAAGGAGATACTCACTACCACCACCTCCAACACTCACACTGAACACGGAGATGGGCTCTTTTACTGATGGAGGGAGGAATGCCGTTGGAAGCGATGCACAAGTAGGATCCCATCTGCAGACGAGACACCTTTTTCAGGACCAGCGTATCTCCTTCTATCACTCGTGTCGAATCATCCACACCAAGTCTTGAGGTTCCAGCTATATCCACACTAGCTGCAGTAGTCTCTCCTTCACCCACATCACGAGATATTGACTCAGTATGACTCTCACCTCGTGCTGGAAATACAAAATACATCACCCTCATATATTGTTACAGATCAAAACACCGATACAAACAACCTGGTGTTTTGCCTCGCTTCCATAACATTACTACCTAAATCTATAATAAATTACAACCTAAAGCTACAATATATTACAACCCAAAACTACAATAAAATACAACCTAAAACTACAATAAATTATAACCTAAAGCTACAATACAATACAACCTCAATAATTCTATTAATTGCAAAACTAAATGGTTCTGGTAAAGGAAAAAAAGAACATTTGTAAAAGTTTTTTTCCCCGTGTTGCCTGTCTGTGTCAACACATGCAGTAGGTCACCAGATCACCTCAGGAACTTTAGTACAATAAGTTAGTCGATGCGCAATAAGTTGGATTTATTAATATACAATACTCATAAATGACTATTGAAGTTCAGGAAATACATATTCATTGTTATTAGAAAATGTCTTCTTCTAAAACACAATAGTTTTTTCGTACTTCACTATATATACTGTATGTGAAGAGCCGAACAGATTATAAAAAAATATTGGTTCTTTATATTCACTCTCAATTTTATCTCACAATAAATAACAAAAGAATAACACGGCATCAAGTATCAACGAGCAGGAATTATAAGGATAGTCTTTATGTCGCCATTATTTCCAGTGTTCGTATTTTGTGACACGACAATGGAGAATTTAATATCCATTCGCAACTCGCTGGTTCAACATCCTAGGCTAAAAACACAAACATCTTGCGAGGTAATGTGTATCAGTGAGGTCTTGGGAGGTTGCCGCGTGCTGGGGGTAATATACTGTACTTGACGTCTCAAGTAAGCATCTCCATTCGCTCAACATTTACCATTATGCTTAAGAAAACCTTCCTGGGAAAAGTTTGCAAAGTGACGGCAGCATTTCAATATCGTGTAGTGTGTGCCCACCTAATCTTTGCTTCTTGTAAACGGCTTCTCAGAGTCACGAATCATTGAAATTTTCCTACAGTCGCGTTTCAGCAGAAGATAGAATATCACATACACCTAAAATTTTCTTTGTTATAATAAAGGCAAATGCAAAGTGATATAATAAAAAAATATAGAAATATATGTTAAGATGTTATTATAAGATACATGGTGCACAAGGAACACACACAGACACATTCACTCACATGTAATACTTTTTTGTTCTTAAAGTACAGTCACCCAAAAAAGTCCTGTCGCGAACCACAAACCCCGAGATTCAGACTCGTGAACCCGAAGCAGTAGACACTGATACATTATTCTGTCCATAAATGCTTCGGATTCAAGAGTCTGAATCGCGGGGTTCATGGTTCGCGACAGGACTTTTTTGGGTGACTGTACATGTACCCTGTATAGTAGGCCAAAGATGCACCGAGCCACCGACCCCACCCTGGGTCTCGTGCTCGCAATTTTACCTGACAATACTTGGTAAAGGAAGGCTGTATGTAAAGGTAATTGTGATTGGTGGATCTGTTTTCGGCTGTATCACTGTCAGGATAAATATTAAACAAACCAAAGGTAACATTTATATAATAAACTTTTCATTGTTATTTAAGGTCATGAGAAGTTTCCAAATGTTCTTATATTTGTTTAAATAATGATGAAAATTTGATCTTGTGGCAGCTGTGGTTGTAGTTGAGTTGCCAATTCATTAATAAAATTTTCTTCATTATTTAAGCAAATATACGAAAATTTGGAAACTTCTCATAACTTTAAATAACAATGAAAAGTTTATTATTATAAAAATGTTACCTTTGGTTTGTTTAATATTTATCCTGACAGTGATACTGCGGAAAACAGATCCACCAATTACAGTCACCTTTACATACAGCCTTCCTTTACCATGTATTGTCAGGTAAAATTGTGAGGACGAGACCCAGGGTGGAGTCGGTGCATCTTTGGCTGACTGTATAGTTCTATCGTGCACAAAAGTCGTGTCCACTACCCAGCCACAGTGAGGTTTCGAATAGCCTTGAGTCTGAAGTTTCGAAACAGCTGGGGGAAATGCTATGGTCGGCCAACAGATGTCGCCCACTGTAGTGTGTGGGTGTGGGGGGGGGGGGGGGGGGGTAGAGAGGTGGGGGGGTTAGGAGGTGGGGTTGGATGAGAGGAGGTGGGGTTGGATGAGAGGAGGTGGGGGCTGGATGAGAGGCAGGTTTATCTATTATTTATACCCCATAATTTCAAGCTGCCTTTTTAATTAAGTTTTGTCTTACAGTTGTTTCTTTATGGTTACGAATTCATGGAACAGGTGCAGTGCCCTGGGTGCTTATTGCCTCTTAGGTCACAATGATACTTTAAAGAATGGAATATATTAAGGATAAAAGCGAAATATCCAAGAATCAGGGTGAAGGGCCTTGGTCAGCTAGTTTTACTCAGCAACCACGTCACAATTTTGTTGTTATTCCGACAAAGAGATTATGGTAATATTTATTTATATTCCACCCATCCTTTGCTTAATAAATATTTGTGATAATATGCAATATTATATAATTATATACTTATGTTAAAAAGAGTGGAGTGAAAAAGTTATTAGTATTGTAAAATAGTATTTCGACTTATACTAGTTCCAATTCTTCCAAGTTCCAGTGTTTAAACACCCCACCACAATAAGCAAGCTTCATATATTTTGCAGTGTGCTCAGTTACCGTTAATATTGTGTGCTGAACATCATGGGCATTTCAATGATGGTAGCAATTGTAACTATATAATTATCTTGTGTTATAACACGACACATTCCACGACGTGTCATACAGATCATTGTATACCACACAATACATAATTTGTGGCTGTTAAGTTACTTTGTTATGAATTTTCATGCGATACAGTTCAAGACATCATTAAAGACATGGATTTAAGATAACACTGTAGATGCGTTAATATATATTGATTGTATTTACAAACAATACTAAAATCCAAACAATACACCAATACACACATCTTAGTTTTTGGTCCAGCCTCCCATTGCATTCAGGACTTCATCAAGGCGATTAGGGGATGGAGTCGACCAGCTTCAGGCACACCCCTGGTCGTCGACGTATACTCTCCCACACGTCGTAAACTTTGGCCTCTATTGCTGCACAGGCTCGCTGCTCCCCAATATCCCAATCACATTTCATCATGTCCCAAATATGTTCAATAGGATTAATATCACATCCTAGTGTTGGCCAGTCAATGACCTCAATTTCAAGGTGATCCTGGAGGTAGTCCTTCACTATGTTGATGGTATAAATGGGACTGTTGTCATGAACCAGATTGATAGTGTGGGGGGGATGGAACTGTCATAGCCCAGACTGTAGGAATTAGCACTTGCTCCAGGATGTCTATATACTGCTCACAAGTGAAATGGCCATTGATCTTGACCAGTTCACCTGGCCCATGTGCCCACATCCACCCCCAGAATGACACTGACACTGCGCGATGTTGAATGTGTTTCTCATTGGTAGCATGTGTTGGGGGGCCGCCAGCACTGCCTTACTTCGGCTCCCACTGACCTGAACACCGTTTCATCGGTAAATATAATGGTTCTCCAGTATTCTTCTCTATGTGGAAGGTATTCCAATGCAAAGCCGAGTCGACTCTCCTTGTGAATAAGTGTTAGCCACCCTTTGTCAGCTGGAATATTGCAGTCGATCCTGGCTTCATGAAGTCGGCGTCTCGTCGTTATGTGATGGCAGTTGAGGTACATATTTCTTGTATGCTCCACTGATGTTCGCATTGGATATGCCGTTGCAGCTGCCACGATCATGGCGTCCATCCTTGCCGACGTTACTCGTGGCCTCCCACTTCGAGGTTTCGTCTCCACTGAGCCCTCTTCCTCCCACAGGCGGATCCACCTGCTAATCATCTTGGTGCACCTCCCCACTTCGACAGCATTGTTCGGCACAGTTGCCCCGGCTCTCCGCATCACGATGATTTGGCCTCACTCAGCAAATTCATTCAGGTGTAAATCACTGTTCCAATCTTTTTTCTGACACCCGTTTCTAGAATTTAATATACATAATCTTTTATTGTCAACAGGTTTTGTAACAAAACTATACTAAATTTTTTCTCATTTATTGTAAATTACATACATCAACAAATGATAATATGAGATCAGAATTTTACCTTTAAATATGTACTAATAATATTTACACAGTGAACACACCCGAAAGATTGTAGAAAATTACTGTTGTATGACCCTCCGGTTTGACCCTGTTGACAGCTGATGCAGTACTTTAAAAACTACACTAGAAATATGGACTGTAGTGTAATATTAAATCAGAGTTTGAGACGTCAGAAAGTTTATTTTGGGGGTCCTGGTTTTCATTTTATTTTCTCCCTTCAGGAGTGGGAACACGACCACTCCTCCCCACAACCTCCTATTAACATTCACAACAATAACTTTGCCAATAAAAAGTACTTCTCTTCAGCTGCTTGAGACGATAATATTTCACAATCTAGATAAATTTTCAACTATAAGAACAGTGGAAGCTCATGGAATTGGAGGAGATATTCTCAACTGGATTAGGGCGTAGTTACAAAACAGGAAACAGCGAGTAAGCATTAACGGCACTAAATCCGATTGGGGTAACGTCACTAGTGGAGTACACGAAGGGTCATTACTTGGACCAATACTATTTATTATATACATAAACGACATAAATATCTGCGTAGGCAGCAACATAAGTAAATTTACTGACGACGCTAAAATAGGGCGAGTAATTAAATCTGACGAGGATTCCGCAAAACTAGAGGAAAATCTAAAAAAATAATTTCGCATGGTCTGAAAAATGGCAGTTGAAATTCAATGTGGACAAATGTAAAGTACTTAGTCTAGGAGATGTAAACAGAGAAACCAGATATCAGATGAACAACGTTGTTATAGAGAAATCCAACTGCGAGAGAGACTTAGGAGTAATGATAAGTAGGAATCTTAAACCAAGACAAAGTGTATTTGCTAGAAACAAGGCTAACAAAGTACTTAGGTTCATGTAAAGGAGTGTTAGTCACAAAACTAGCGACATTATCCTAAAACTATATCTTACACTTGTGAGACCTCACTTGAATTATGCGGTCCAGTTCTGGTCACTCCACTACAGAATAGATATAAAATCCCGAGAAAGAATTCAAAGGAGAATGACAAGACTAATCCCGGGCACAAGGGACCCTGAGTACAGAGACAGGTTAAAGCATCTTAATTTGCACTCCCTCGAGAGATGTAGAGTGAGGGGCGATGTGATCTAGGTGTATAAATGGAAGTCAGGGCTAAACAAAGGTGATATAACAGAGGTAATCAAAGTTTCCAATCAGGAGCGAACTCGTAGCAATGGTTTTAAATTGGAAAAATTTAGATTTAGGCGCAAAATAGGTAAACATTGGTTTGGGGAAATAGAGTAGTGGACGAGTGGGAAAAAGTTACCAAAGATCATTAACTCGAATACGCTGGATAGCTTCAAACATAGGTTGGATGGATATATGAGCGATAGGGGTTGGGTGAAAATGGGACTGCCCAGTATGGGCCAATAGGCCCGCTGTAGTTTCTTCCATTCTTATGTTCTTATTGTATTCGTCATCTCACAAGTATGACCATCGTTACTCCCTCTCGATAAGTACCTTCATCATCATGGCACTCCAGTACACCACATTACAAGGTATTGAGATAATGTACACATACCCTAAAACTACACCTGTTGTTTACTCACCTGTGTTTCCATGGTCGGGAATAATGTCTAAGTTGTCTTCTCGCCGCCAGATGATGGTCGGTGGTGGATGACCTTTGGCTCGGCAGGTCAAGGTCACATCTTGACCTTCACGGATTGTCAGGTCACCGGAGGATTCACGGTCAATAATATCGGGTGGAACTGTAAAGAATGAGAGATTCGCGGTCCTTGTTAAATGAAAGATAATAACACATCATACAGGCCATTTTGTTCCGATAATTTCCGTCAATCACTCACCATGTTATGTAATACACGGTACATGGCACGCATCTTACCATTCTACCACTAAACTTCTCGTCACTCACTAACCATACACCTTATCCTCGAGTCACTCACCCACTCAATACTTATTTATACTCCCACGTCAACCGCAACCCTACGTTACTGACAACAACCCAACGTGAGTTATGATAACCCTAAGTTACTTGTAACATATTCACGTTATTTGTGACAACCCTACGTTTTTAAAACAAAGCTTTGTTAATAACTACAACCACACATAATATAACCTTGTGGTAGTTGTGTTCTGACCTCACTAGGGGAAAGGTCACGGCAGGGTTAGCTCTCGAGGGATAATTATCAGATATGGCCAGTGCTATGTGTGGTCTGGGGTGTGCGAGTTTGTTGGCCAAGCTGGAGAGGGCCAAGGAAGAATTAGAGAGGGCCACATTGGAGAACCTGAAATTAAAGGAAGAGATATCAAGGATGAAGGAAGAGGCGAGACAAGGAAAGCCCGTGTCTGACGAAAACTCAGGCGAGTGGAAGGTTGTGAGGAGAGGGAAGACCAAACTGGTGGTGAAAAAACACACCAAGGATACATCAACAACGATATCAACAGCTAAGTGTACCAACTCGTTCAGTCCCTTGATAGACGAATTGGACGTTAGTACAGTGAGGGACAGGGCTGACAAGGAAGGTATACAAACTTTAATTGTTGGCGACTCACAGGTAAGGTACGTGGACAGGGCTTTTTGTGGTAAATACAAAAATAGGATGAGGGTGTGTTTGCCAGGAGCTGGGGTGGGGGATATAATTGACAGGATGGACAATATCTTATCTGGTAATGGGAACAAACCCATTATCTGCCTCAGTGCAGGAGGCAATGATATTGGCCGGTGTAGGAGCGAGGAGCTTCTTGATAAGTTCAAGGCAGCTATAGATGGTATTAGGACTAAGGGAGGGATCCCTATCATATGCGGTGTCCTGCCTAGAAGGAGAGTTGGCAGTGAATGGTTGTCAAGGGCGGTTGGTGTCAACGGCCGTCGTGACAGATATTGCAAGTCAATATCAGTCCCACTCATTGACAACTGGGACAACTTCTACGGTAGAAGGGACCTTTATGCTAGGGATGGGGTGCACCTGTCTCGGGATGGGGTGCACCTGTCTCGGGATGGGGTGCACCTGTCTCGGGATGGGGTGCACCTGTCTCGGGATGGGGTGCACCTGTCTCGGGATGGGGTGCACCCTGGCGGGGTCTCTAGAGGGGGCAGTTCAAAAGATATCGAAGTCTTTAAACTACTAGGGGAACATATGGGCACGGGGGTGGAGGAGACTGTAGTGGGAGCGGGTAAACAAAGTGAAATTTTACAGAGAAATAGTGTTGGGAATGATGACAAAGCTAAATTAGACAGCGAGATAAGACCTAAACGCGGTAAAGGGAGGACTCAGAACACGACTAACCTAAATGTCTACTACGCGAACAGTAGAAGTATGAGAAACAAAATGGATGATATTAGGCCCTTGGTATGTACCGAAAAATTCGATATAATAGCATTCACTGAAACATGGATCAACCTAGAGTCACGTGAGTTACCTGTCGAATACCAAATTGCAGGTTACAAATTGTTCCATACCGACAAGCAGACCAGGAAAAGAGGAGGAGTAGCAGTCTATGTCAGGGATAACCTGAAGTGTGAAATAAACAAAGAAATAAAAACTGAGTGGAATACAGAAACAATTTGGATAGAATTAATCGACGGTAGGGAAAAATTTATCACAGGAGTAATATATAGACTTCCCAATCTTGATAGAGTTAATGAGCGACTTATCTGGGATGATATGCTCAGGGCTTCCATACACAACAAAGTCTGTATCATAGGTAACTTTAACCTTGGCCAAATAGATTGGACTGACCTTACGGGTAACTCAGTATCAGAGGATTTTCTCGAAAAGATCCAGGACTGTTTCCTAAGTCAACATATAACCGAACCCACCCGGGGTAATGATATACTCGATTTAGTTCTGTCAAACAGAGAAAACCTCATTAGCAATGTCGAGGTAGGGAACGAACTTGCAAACAGCGATCACAAAGAAATTAGATTCCAGTTAGATTTTCAGGGCGGACGTAAGGAAAATTCCATTAAAGTCCCAGATTTCAAAAGGGCAAACGTTGATAGTTTGAAGAGGCAGTTGAGGGAAGGGGTATCACGCCTGGGGGTGACTCACACCGACCTCACTCCACCCGCGAACCTGACGGTTGACACACAGACCTGATAACGAGATGTGAGATTGCCGAGTTCCACGACAATATAAATAATGAGTTACTTAATGCACAAAGGCAGAACATACCATACAAAAAACTCAGATCAAACAACAATGACTCTAAATGGATAAAATTATTATTTAAAGAACATTATTGGCCAAAGGTAGGCTATAGGCAGAAGGATAAATCGTGGCGAAATTTACTTCAGGGATTATTTTAAGGTATTGGCGACTAGGGTTAAAACCGAGATAAGGAAGGCCAAGAGGAATAATGAGGTAAGGATAGCAAGGGGGGCGAAGACAAACCCCAAAGGATTCTACCAAACGTATCAAACTAAAACACGAGAAAAGATTGGACCAAGACGGTCAGATACCGGCGAGCTAACTGATAACGACAGAAAAATGAGCAATAATCTGAATAAATATTTTTCAACAGTTTTCACCACCGAAAAGTTAAACATGATACCCGAGGCACCGACTCTATTCAGAGATAGTGAAGAAAACAAATTAAGTGAGATAGTCGTGACTAATAACGATGTTAGTAAGCAAATAGACAAACTAAAGCCTAATAAGTCACCTGGTCCCGATGAGATATTTGCCACAGTATTAAAGGAATGTAAGGAATAGCTTAGTATGCCCTTAGCAAAGTTGTTTAACATGTCCTTAAAGCAGGTGTAGTACCAGAATCCTGGAGGATAGCGAATGTAATACCGATTTTCAAGAAGGGGGATAGATCACTATCCTCTAACTATCGCCCAATCAGTCTAACATCAATAGTAGGCAAATTATTGAAAGCAATCATTTCAAACTCTATTCGAAATCACCTGGAGAAGCACCGATTGATCAAAGATTCCCAGCATGGCTTCACAATCGGGCGTTCTTGTCTAACTAATCTATTAACATTCTTTTCATCAGTTTTCGAATCGGTGGACGAGGGGCACAATTCTGATGTGGTATATCTCGACTTTAGCAAAGCCTTCGACAGAGTCCCCCACGAAAGACTAATTCGAAAGGTAGAAGCACATGGCATCAAAGGTAATATCCTTAAATGGATTAGGGCGTGGTTACAGGACAGGAAACAGCGAGTGAGCATTAACGGCACTAAATTCCATTGGAGTAACGTCACTAGTGGAGTTCCCCAAGGCTTAGTACTTGGACCATTATTATTTATTATAGACATAAACGACATAGATATATGCGTACACGGCAACATAAGTAAATTTGCTGATGACACCAAAATAGAACGTGTTATTAAATCTGACGAGGACTCCATAAAACTACAGGAAGATCTAAACAAATTTTCAAATGGTCTGAAAAATCGCAGATGAAATTCAACGTGGAGAAATGTAAAGTACTCAGTATAGGAGATGTAAACAGGGAAACCAGTTACCAGATGAACAATGATGCCATTGAGAAATCCGACTGCGAGAGAGATTTAGAAGTAATGATAAGTAGGAACCTTAAGCCAAGTAAACAACGTGTATTTGCTCGAAACAAGGCTAATAAAGTAATTGGGTTCATACAAAGGAGTGTTAGTTACAAGGCTAGCGAGGTCATCCTAAAACTATATCTTGCGCTTGTGAGACATCACTTGGATTACGCAGTTCAATTCTGGCCACCTTATTACAGAATGGATATAGAATCCTTGGAAAGAATTCAGAGGAGAATGACATGGCTAATCCCGGGCATTAGGAACCTTGAGTACAGAGACAGGTTAAAGCATCTTAATTTGCACTCCCTCGAGAGACGTAGAGCGAGGGGCGACCTGATAGAGGTGTATAAGTGGAAGGCAGGGCTAAACAAAGGGGACATTACAAAGGTACTAAAACTATCCAACCAGGAGCGAACCCGTAACAATGGTTTTAAATTAGACAAATTTAGATTTAGGCGCGAAATAGGCAAACACTGGTTTGGTAACAGACTAGTGGATGAATGGAACACGTTACCAAATATCATCATTAACTCGAATACGCTGGATAGCTTCAAACATAGGTTGGATGCTTATATGAGCAATAGGGGTTGGGTTTAAATGGGACTGCCCAGTATGGGTCATTAGGTCCGCTGCAGTTTCCTCCATTCTTATGTTCTTATGTTCTTAACTCACTAGACCTACATCACATAATCACAACAAGACCTGCATCACATACTCTCAAGACCTACGTCACAAACAGCAAGGCTTGCGCCATATACAAGAAGGCGTTCGTCACATATGTGCGTCGCATACAACAATACCTGCATCACATACTCACAACAAGACCTGCTTCACATACACGGCTAACATCATAATTATGCTCACAACAAGGCCTGAGTCACATACTCACAAAAAGATGTGCCTCACACACTCACAAGACCATCGTCGCACTCTCACAGCAAGACTTACCTTCCTCACTTCAAGTCCAGGGTCATCTGTAAGTTTCCCTGAGGTTCTCTCACGCTTTACCTCACTCACAAACTGGTTTCTTATTATATTCTTACAAAATATAAATAATACATTCAGAAACAAATCAGCTAAAATCAGTGTGTTACCGTCGACGCTTAACTTTGCCTTTGGTGTTAGAATATGACCTTACAAAGTAGTTTTATATATGAAACCACTGGTAGTTATTCTTAATAGTAATTTTCCTCTGGGTTTGTCCATAAAGCTTCAAGTTACTCACCCATAAAGCTTCAAGTTACTCACCCATTAAGCTTCAAGTTACTCACCCATTAAGCTTCAATATACTCACCCGTTAAAATTCTTGTCACTCACTAACGATATAAAGTAACTTACAATATATTACTTTAAGTAGCGTCACTCACGGATTTACGACGTGGTTGTTACTCATTGACTCTCAAAGTAGTGTCACTCACCTACAACATCAACGTATCCTTGGCGGGACCTCATAGGATCAGTGTTCACCTGACACATGTACCACCCACGGTCGATCTCCCTAACGTTCTTGATTTTCAGATGCCAAGTGCGGTGGTCGTTGTGTAGCAGCGCGATCCTTGGGTTCCTGGTGATGACTTGCTTGTGGATGGTAAGGATAGTTTGTGTGTCTACCTGCACCCACGCCACCTGTGATGGAAAGGTGGGAACAGTTGTCATTACCTGAATAGTTCACCTGCACCCACGCCACCTGTGATGGAAAGGTGGGAACAGTTGTCATTACCTGATTAGTTCACCTGCACCCACGCCACCTGTGATGGAAAGGTGGGAACAGTTGTCATTACCTGAATAGTTCACCTGCACCCACGCCACCTGTGATGGAAAGGTGGGAACAGTTGTCATTACCTGCTTAGTTCACCTGCACCCACGCCACCTGTGATGGAAAGGTGGGAACAGTTGTCATTACCTGAATAGTTCACCTGCACCCACGCCACTTGTGATAGAAAGGTGGGAACAGTTGTCATTATCTGAATAGTTTACCTGCACCCACCTGTGATGGAAAGGTGAGAACAGTTGTCATTACTGAATAGTTACCTGCACCCCGCCACTTGTGATAGATAGGTGGGAACAGTTGTCATTATCTGAATAGTTCACCTGCACCCACGCCACCTGTGATGGAAAGGTGGGAACAGTTGTCATTACCTGAATAGTTCACCTGCACCCACGCCACCTGTGATGGAAAGGTGGGAACAGTTGTCATTACCTGATTAGTTCACCTGCACCCACGCCACCTGTGATGGAAAGGTGGGAACAGTTGTCATTACCTGAATAGTTCACCTGCACCCACGCCACCTGTGATGGAAAGGTGGGAACAGTTGTCATTACCTGCTTAGTTCACCTGCACCCACGCCACCTGTGATGGAAAGGTGGGAACAGTTGTCATTACCTGAATAGTTCACCTGCACCCACGCCACTTGTGATAGAAAGGTGGGAACAGTTGTCATTATCTGAATAGTTCACCTGCACCCACGCCACCTGTGATGGAAAGGTGAGAACAGTTGTCATTATCTGAATAGTTTACCTGCACCCACGCCACCTGTGATGGAAAGGTGAGAACAGTTGTTATTACCTGAATAGTTCACCTGCACCCACGCCACCTGTGATGGAAAGGTGGGAACAGTTGTCATTACCTGAATAGTTCACCTGCACCCACGCCACTTGTGATAGAAAGGTGGGAACAGTTGTCATTATCTGAATAGTTTACCTGCACCCACGCCACCTGTGATGGAAAGGTGAGAACAGTTGTTATTACCTGAATAGTTCACCTGCACCCACGCCACCTGTGATGGAAAGGTGGGAACAAGATTATTACATGCAGTTTTTATGAGAGGAAGTTTATGATTTTACATCCATATAATTTGATCAGAGGGGACAGGAGGAACAAACACTTGACCAGAGCCTAAAGGGACAAAATATAAAACAATGCACCAATAATACAAAATCGACATGAAACCAAAGAGTTAGTTGATTGACAGAAGAAGTCAAGGATACTTAACAGACTAAGGTGAATAGAGTAAAGTGCTATGGCAAGTGTACAAAAGGAAAATAGAGGTACACAGATCTTAATGGGAGAAATACAATAGTTCACACGAGATAATATCATCTCATAGCAAGTTTTAGGCCTGTTTGGTTGCAGTCCTTATCGAGAACGGTGACGTCCACGTACTGTATATTAACGGGTGGTCATGTTGTTGAGCTGGTTCCTTACCAGAGTGAGGTATGAACGGCCTCTACACCCATTGTTCATTCCCAACCGAGCAAAGCAAAGCCCTGGACAGTAAACATGAACGAAAGTTAAAAAATAAGCAAACACAAAATAAAAACTGTAACGTGGATTGTGAGGACATTATATGAGGCTGGTAAGTGTTGGTATTGTTGTAGACCAGAAGTTGAGCAGTAGTGTAAAGGGATACCGGGCAGTGTGAGAGTTTTGTTAGTCAAGTTTAATGCTCAACCGACGAACTTGGTAATAATACAGGTTTATGCACCAACAAATGATAGTGAGGATGGAGTCCTAGAAAAATATTATGAAGATTTAAAGAAAGCAAAAGACACCGTAAAGTTTAACGAATGTCTGATTATAATGGTTGTTTTTAACGCCAAAGTTGGGAAAGGGAAAGTAGCACCTGAAGTAGGACCACATGGGTTGGGTAATAGAAATGAGAGAGGAGAAATATTAATTGACGTTTGTAAGGAAAACAAGATGATAATTGCCAATACTTGGTTTGAGTAACACCCTAGGCATCTGTATAAAGGGGTCTCACCCCAGGACAATGTAAACACCATAGTCAGGAGTCAAACAGATTACATTTTAACTCAGGAAAGATTCAGAACTTCAGTGACCCAAACCAAGACCTATCCAGGGGCAGAGTGTGGGTTAGACCACGTCCCAATAATGAGTTTAGTGAAGCTAAAAGTAAAAAGAAAAACGATGGACAAAATCAAAACAAGGGCAGGGATGGAAGGTGAAATTGAAAAAAAAAATGGTTTTCAGTATTGCTAGAGGGTGACGTTGATGAACAAGGACTAGGACAGCAATTTAATAATTACACAGAAGTAGTTTTAGAGACACTCATAAACTTAATAGGACATAGGGGGAACGAGGCTGACAGTGAGTGGTTGACAAATTAAATTTTAAAGAAAATAGATAGACGAAGAAATTTGAGAAAATGAAGTGCGGCTTAAATAAAAATTAATAAAGAAATTCAAAGGGAATGTAGACAGGCCAAGAAAGATGACCTGGAAAGGTAATGCAAGGAGACTTAAAATGATGACAGAGGGCATAATTATAGGGAGGTGTACAGAAAGATTAAACAAATGAATCAGGAAAAAATAAATAAATGGGGTCGAACTATTAAGAGCAAAGACAATAAGCTCCTTTTGAGGGAGAAGAAGTAAAAGAGACTGACAGAGTATGCAGAAGAACTATACAGAGATAAGGGCAGAGTAGCGGTAAGACACGAAATAGAAATAAAGATCGAAACGCGAATTCTGGAAACAGAAGTTGAGGAGCTGTGAGAAAAATGGAAATGATAAAGCTTGTGGGGCTGATCAGCCTCCAGCAGAATTTATAAAACAAATGGACAAGAATGGGATAAAATGTTTGATTTAAATATGTAATTCTATATACTGTAAAGGAGACCTTCCCAGTGATAAAAAAAAACAATATTTGTATTATTACCTAAAGAGCCAGGAGCCTTAGAGTGCACCCAGTTTAGAACAACATACTTAATAAGTCATGCCCGCAATGTTTTATTACACATAATTTTAAGTAGAATAACGCTTAGAATAAAAAAAGTGAGTTATCTTAAGAGCAAAATTTATTTAGAAAGGCAAAAGGAACTAGAGAAACTATATTTGGTTTTGAGAATTTTGAGGTCCAAAGAAATTTGTATATCTGCTTTGTTGATTTTGAAAAAGATTTTGATAAACATACAGAGATCTTGGAAAAATATAGGCATTATGATGGAGATGTCAGAATTTAAAGAATCTTTACTGCAGCAGGAGGCTGCAGTGTTAGTAAATAATGAGCAGCTTAGTAACTGGTTCACAGTTAGATAGGGAGTAAGACAATGACGTGTTTTATCTCCAACATTGTTTACTATATTCAGAATTCTTAATGAGACTTTATATGGGAAGGACGGATGAAAGGGTCAGAAGTGTGGACACTTTAAGCAGACACTAGAAAGAAGTTGGAGGCTATTTGAAATGTGGTGGTGTAGGTGAATGCTAGAAAAACAAATGCAAAAGTACTAAGAATAACAAAAACTTCAAGAAAAACAATTGGAATGTACAGAAAAAGAAAAATGAGATACCTTGGTTATATAATTAGGGTAGGAGGCCCAGGGGAAGGCAGAAACTGGGATGGATGAAAGAAATTAAAAACTTGGTCCCCAGAGAGATACAAAACCTTAGAGGATTGGTAAAAAAACAGCCTGAGAACGTTTAGAGTGGAGGACTGTCGTTGCCAACCCTCCGATATGAAGACGGTACTCTGATTGATTGATGTTGGTGGACGTGGTTAGGAGTTAGGAGTCTTTTATATTTAGTTCCTGTGTTTGAACCTTTACATGTGCATATTTTGTGGCTAGCTGTGATGTATAAACCCTGCCTATGGTTGTATAGTGCTTAACTGTGATGTATGAACCCTGCCTATGGTTGTATAGTGCTAAGCTGTGATGTATGAACCCTGCCTGTGGTTGTATAGTGCTTAGCTGTGATGTATGAACCCTGCCTATGGTTGTATAGTGCTTAGCTGTGATGTATGAACCTTACCTATGGCTGTTGTAGTGCTTAGCTGTGATGTATGAACCCTTCCTATGGGTGTATAGTGGTTAGCTGTGATGTATGAACCTTACCTATGGTTGTATAGTACTTAGCTGTGGTGTATGAGCCCTGCCTACTGTATAGTGCGCGGATCATGAACTATAGGTTATGTCGTGTTCAGTATGGGAATGTTGATGTACTGATCTATGATGCATAGGAGTGGACTTTAAACTATTGATAACTTATTATGACTTTGGTGTGTGATGATATTAATGTGGATCTATTGTGTGGAATTTAGTTCTGGATATAGAGTCTAAACTGGATATAGAGTATAGATCTTAACTGTGTTGTTGATTGTTAAGGGTTGCGGTTGTGACTCTTACACATCAAACTCTAGATAGAGTCATCCTCTACCTTATAACCCTGGTGGAGGTTATAGTTCTTTGTTTATAGCCTTGGAGGGAGGTACTGTAGAGTTTATCTTTGACCTGTATGGTAGATGCAGTAATCATTATATTGGAGCTCTCAAGAGGTTGTAGACGTTGAACTAAACCCCTGATGAGGTGTAACCCTTAGGAAGACCTGACCTCAGCAATACAAATCTGAGAAGGACCAAACCCTTAAATTACGTCTGAGGGAACGTCAGTCTCAAGAATTCAGGAAAATCGGAACCTTTTATCAAGGTCTTAAGCTAAACATAACGTTTATCCAGAAGTTCTCTGGCACACGTAGCTCTGACCACTATCGCTTACAGAACTCGTGGTTGTTACTTGATAACTCGAGAGGAAGGTGAGGTAGGTGTTACCCACAGCGAACAAAAGGCCAATATTTAGAGCCACGAGGACCGGTGTCATTATCTAGCAGTAGTGCTGAAGCTCACAGTTGAGTGTGACCCTTACCTTGAAGCCCTTAAGCTGCTCGACAGTGCAGGGCAGGAGAGCGTCGCGCCCCACCGTTACCGTAATGTTAGGGACGTTCTCCACAAATTTCGGCAGAAGACCCACGTCTTCACTGCTTCCTAGAAGAGATGAGAAGTTCAGGTGAGTTTGGAAGATGACGGAGTGATGAAGGAGAGACAAAGTGAGTATAAAAGAGGAGATAGTGAATGGAACAAGAGAGAGAAAAGCCGGATAAGTGTGGCCGAGGAATAATAGGAAGGAGGTTGAGAATACACGAGTGACATTTACTTATCCCCTTCGTCACTTATCAGCTGACTAGGTAGTCTGGGGAAGAAGGGGGGGGGGGGGTCAGACAAATTTCTATTGGTCAGTGTAGTCATGTACAGTACCACACATGCAACGACTCTTCAATGTACAGTTGGGGACTTTTCCGACTGACACACTCAGCGTTGTCAATCAACCCTCCCGTGAGGTGTGAACCTCGAGAGTATCGACTCATGAATCCGAAGCCTGCATACATATATATACGAGGAGGCACAGAGGGGCACGTAACCTGCAATGTTTGGGGATTTTTGCACAAGTGTTCATGATCGATGCCTCATCCACACTGCCAGAGCAGCCAAGCAGTGGTTTGCTGACCAAGACAATTTGCGGCTGCTGGATTGACCTATTGAGGGGGGGGGCTATATAAACCCCCATCGACAATTTGTGGGCGAACATCATGAACACATGGAGACAGCTAAGGGGAAATTATTTGCCCACACGACAGCAGAATAAGAAATGTTCTGGAACAAGCTTCAACTCAGCAGGAATAATGTAAAATCGATGCCTGACAGGCTTCAGGCTGTTGTTGAGTTGAATACCATTATTAATGTAAATACTAGAGGGATTCCATATCTGTCTATAAACCTACGAATAAATTATTGCCTTATTCTTCATAATACATTTGTCTTTCATACTGGAAATGGAGAGTTACTATGAGAATGTCAATGACCAATAAAAGAGCAACGAATGGGGGAAAATAATAGGATATCCTTAGAAAACTTATCACGAGTATATCTTTGCAAATGGAATAAGTCATGTGGTTTGATATTACATCTCACACCATACATATATATAATATACTGAATATGTACTGAAACGATCGAAACATTTATTGCCATTAAAGATGTCTATATATGATAGGAAGCAATATATGCATATTAGGCACAAAAGAAACTTGTATATATTAATAGAAAAATATAAATGCAATAATATATCAAGGAACATTTGAATAAATGTAGTCTTTCATATGTTGAGGTGTAATACTTTAATCCTGGGACGTTAGAGCTCATGGATTGTTGATATAAAGTTAATCTTGGGTTACTGGGGTTGTTGTGTATCATTATGACACGTTGAGTAAGGACGAGTCAGCTAATAGTTGTTGTGGTTAACAGTTTGAACAGATAATTGGGGATGTTCAGTTTGATACTGTCTTTGTTCAAAGATTTACCTAATCATTACAAATGGAAGATTATGACAGAAAACTATAAAAAATCATCTGATCATGCTTGAAAACATACATATCGACACCAAGATCACTCATATTGACCAACTACATCAATTTCTATAAGAAAAATCAACTTTTGAAAATCAACATGGCGGCCATCTTGAAAAATGGCCGCCATCTTGGATTTTCAAATGACCAATAAGGCAGACTTGACCAGTAACCATTAGAGAATTACCATGCCAAATTTGGTGCTTGTATCACCATTTGCATGATTCTCTTGAAAAATTGCATTTAGCTGCCCCACTACACTGCTGACAAAATGCAACCGAGCAGTTGTAAGCAGTGTTCAGGTTGAAGGTGTGATCGATGGCATAAGGTGTCCGTTGGTGAGTGACACAGCCTCGGAGCAGACTTTTGTGAGGCCGGACATGGTTAGTCATCGAAAACTGCCTTAGACATCGCAGCTCTGCGGGATAACTGGACAATGTGCGGTACTAAAGGGACCAGTGGATATCAGCATCAAGCTGGAAGGGGAAGAAGAAACCCTACAGGTTTATGTAGAGGACAAAACAAACCCTTGCATCCTGGGTCTGGACTACCTCCTTCTTCGCAAGTGTCAACTGGACCTTGGCTCGATGCATTTGACAATAAAAGGAAAGTGGGTACCGCTGAGGACTATGAAGCATGCAAGTGCTCAGATTACAACTAGGCGGGTTGTAGTTATTCCCTCAAGATCAGAGGTGCGGTTGCCACTCAATGTGAACGGTGCCTTGCATACCTGTCTGAGAGTGATGAAGCCTGATTGTCAGCAGTGTTGCTGGAGAGAGGCAGTTCCAAGAAGTGTAGTTGCACTACAATGGAGGAGGATCCAGCCGTTACTGAGGAAGGCCTTGAGACGCTGTAGCTGGAAGATCAAGACCAGCGACCAGTGGTCGAGTGGATGAACCAGAGCTCAGTTCGGCCAGAATGGGAGATGATCTCTGGAGCAAGTCCTACGACTAAAAACTACTGGGCGCAGTGGGATGCTCTTCGGCTGAAGGATGGTCTGCTGCAGTGCCAGTGGGTGACTACCGATGGCCTCAACAGGTACAGGCAGACAGTACTTCTCTGGAAAATGGGGTCAGATATCCTGAGAGAGATGCACAACAATCCAACCAGTGGACATCTGGGAGTGAAGAAGACCCTGAGTTACCTGCGGCTAAGGTTTTACGGGGTTGGCATGTGGAAGAGTGGTGCCGTTCATATGATGTATGCTGCCCCAGTAGTGACCAAAGCTTCACACGCGTGCCTCACTGCAGTTGTACCATGCAGATGCACCAATGGAGAGGGTCGCAATGGATATTGCCGGACTTCTTTCACTCACTGCAAATGAAAATAGGTACATCTGTGTGGCCATGGATTACTTCACTAAGTGGCCAGAAGTATATGCCATCCCGTATCAGGAAGCCATGACTGTTACCAGGGTGCTGGTGGACCAGTTCTTCTGCCGGTTTGGTGTGCCCCATGAAATTTTGAGTCAGCTGTGTTCAGCAAGTGCTGTAAACTGTTGGGCATAAGGAAGACTAGGGCCCCTCCACTTCGGCCCCAGTCAGACGGAATGGTCGAAAAGTTTAATAGGACCTTGGGACAAGAACTGGCCAAGTACTGTGTTGAGGGGCAGACAGAATGGGACCAGAAGCTGCCTGCTTGGCTGATGGCATATCGGTCGGCTGCCCACGAGTCAACTGGAAACACCCAGTCAAACTGATGCTGGGTCACGAACTGCGACTGCCAGTGGACCTGCTGACAGGAAGACCAACTGATGAAAAACTTCCTGAAGAAACCACCAGTTACGTCAAAAGCCTCCAAGAAAGGTTGACGGAGGTCCACCACCAAGTTCGAGGAGCTCTGGAGTTCTCGGGTGAAGTGATGAAGTGCAGCCACAAAGTCAAAGCAAGCCAGTTCCGTTACAAGGACGGTGATAAGGTCTGGCTGTGTAACCCTCTGCGGAAGAAGAGTCAGTCATCGAAGTTGCAGAGTCCATGGGAAGGACAATATACTGTACTGTAGTGGAACGCCTTTCAAATGTGACCTACCGGATCAGGGGAAGAAGGAAAGCTCAGCCGAAGGTAATCCACGTCAAACGTCTGTGGCAGTATCATGGGCCAGGGCAGTACACCTGGGAAGACTGAGGAGCAGTCACCTACCACCGACGAGGACCAGACCGGAGATCCTGGAAGAACTCAGGGCCGTACCGATCAGGGGAACCCTACCATGGACCATGAAGAGAAACACTGTTCCCTCTTACCAGAATTGGACGTGACAGGGGAAGGGGACCGATCTGAGGATGTGACTGAGGTTGCTGCGCCAAGGGAGGACTCTGAAGACATCCCAGTACGTCGACGGCAGCAGCGGAAGAAGAGGAGACTTACCAAATTTCAGGATTATTATGTATATAGTGAATGAGTGTGCCGGAACGACACAATGATAAGGGAGGGATTAGTGTTATAATGTTTGATAACTAGGTGTTTTGATTGTTCTGTCCCAATCAGCAGTTATTTTAGCAAATTTGGGGAGATTTTCTTGTATATTTTGATGTATTTTCTGGAATGTATTACATAATTTTTTGTTATGATTTACATCTTATTGGAAGCCTAGATCACTCTACAATTCTCCAGGCGTGTCTTGAAACAACCTCTCGCGTCTGTACGTCGCTAGAATGCTCTAGGCGTCTGACGAAACACATATAAAAGCGGTCCTGCTCAGAATGTAAAGGACAACAAACCTATTAAAATAACTGAAGATAATTGTTGTGCAAGTATTGTAGAAGCGTGGTGATCAATATAAAGGGAAAATAACGAAGGAATTGTACACTAGTAGTGTTTCCGACTACAGTATATATTCGAAGTGAGAAGTCCAGCTGTGAGCCATTGCTCTGTTTAAAGTGTTGTGAAGAGTTAGTGGCTATTAAAGAAGAGTACAGTGCACAAGTGCGTTTCTGTGACCTGTTGGAAATTTGCCTGCCTGTTGTTGTCTGTACACTGATACCGATCGTCGGGAGATTACCGGAGACTGGCGGGACAGCCAGTGGTAATTCGACGACACTTGTGAGATATCTACTGCTTCTGTACATACGACGCTGGCCGCTGGTAACCAGTGGTGGATAGTTTGATAGTTGTTGTTTATTGTATTGTTCTACTTAGTAACCGAAGCAAAGGAATATTATACGTGTTGGACAAGATATTTTAGTGAAAGCTCCGTGCGCTGACTGCACATACGACTACACACACATTTTACGGAGTTCTATACCTACCTTAGTCCAGTACTGACCTGTTTAGCTTCAATATGATGAAAGTTAATTATATCATCTCTAGTAAACACTGAAAACATAAGAAAATAAGTGTATATCGTATTTACCTCGTGTGTATATCGTATTTATTTCGTGTGTATATCGTATTTACCTCGTGTGTATATCGTATCTCGTGTGTATATCGTATTTATCTCGTGTGTATATCGTATTTACCTCGTGTGTATATCGTATTTATCTCGTGTGTATATCGTATTTACCTCGTGTGTATATCGTATTTATCTCGTGTGTATATCGTATTTATCTCGTGTATATATCGTATTTATCTCGTGTGTATATCGTATTTACCTTGTATATAGCGAGGCATTAAAGACAGATCAAAACAAGATAACAAAGAGAGAAAGAGAGAAGATGAAGATGTAAACTAGGACATAACAGAAACACAAACAGCAAACAGAGAGAAAGATTAGAATGGAAACTGGAGAGAAACGTAAATATAAAGAGAAGAAGATAACCAGAGAGAGGACACATGGAGAGAGGAGGAGGAAGGCAATTGGGTTAGCTGGAGTTGGTTGTGTGAAGGATAATAGGAGTGATATTAGACCTTCACCAGAGACGCTGTGACGGAATAGGTAAAGGGGGGAACGACATCAAGTATTCAGAGGCCTCTATCTTATGTAAGCACTGAGGATTTTAATCTCAGGCTATGGCGAGACTCTGTGTGTGTGTGTGTGTGTGTGTGTGTGTGTGTGTGTGTACGACCTCTAATAAATATATATGAAAGCGTGCCTGTATGTATTTTCATAATTGTCGTACTTATGACTGAGTCTTCAAATAGTCGTACGTTTGTCTAGGTGTACGTGTGTGTTTATGTGTATGTCTGTATGAATGTTAAGCGGGAATATAATGTAACAACACTAGGGAATCACAGTTGCGAAGAGACTAAACTGTGAATAGGAAAATTGGTATAATATCTTCGTGTAGCTTCGTGTCCCCCCCAAAAAATCTATCTCGTGTCCCAGCCAAGCCCCCAGTATCTGCCAGTCTCACTTCTCATCTTCACTGCTTCTTTCTTTCACCTCACATTGGTTTTTGTTTTATATGCAATTATTTTATCTGATTTTCTTCATTTTTAATATTAATTTCCACTGATTTTTTCAACTCTGTTAACTTCAGTCTAGGGAAACAAAGGGTGAGTGGATACAGTACTCGGCTTCTATCGGAAAGTTCACAGGTTCGGACCCAGCTTATCCGCACTTCACCCAGCCGTAGATGGGCACTGAACTCCACATATGGTGAAGTATTGTGTTATATTGGTATGTGGTACTAGGGCAATTATACCACTGACATACTCTTCCGGACACAAATATATAACAAACGTAACAAGAGGTTGAGTGAATATAAGAACAAATATATCAGCAGATCAACACAGCAGCTCTGGGCTGTCATGCATGCTGGTGGGTCATGACGGATGAATGAGACCAATATAATATAGCAATGTAATATAGTACAATAATATAACAAAATAATATAGTAATAAAATATACCAATATAGCATAACATAATAATATACATTGTTCATGATAATTATAATGAGTTATATAATATTACCGTGGGTTATAGTTGTTATACAAGACTTTAAGAAGATCCGTTCTATCCAATGTGATATAACGTATCGAAAGAACTTAAACGGCGGGTGATGATTAGAATAGATGTTCTGTCTGTAACCCTGTGTAACATATGCCTGGAAGAAGTCATCTTTTTATACACCAAATGTTTGACGTCTCCGGCACACTTAGCCAATAAAGAAGGTACAGCCAAGGTAGGATAAGAGAACAGCATCTACAGACTCTGCCTGGTCGCTTGGGGCTACCAGGCACTTTCCGCCTCAACAGGATACAGCCAGAAATATTACTACATCACCCATGGTTAAGACATTGTAGGCAAAGGGTTATGTTACCGCAAACAGTAATGAGTAGGAAGACACATGAATAAACATTGTTAGGCTGTAATGTCAGTGATGTCATTAACATAACTGCCAGTGATGTCATTAACTTACCTGCCAGTGATGTCATTAACTTACCTGCCAGTGATGTCATTAACATACCTGCCAGTGATGTCTTTTACATAACTGCCAGTGATGTCATTAACTTACCTGCCAGTGATGTCATTAACTTACCTGCCAGTGATGTCATTAACTTACCAGCCAGTGATGTCATTAACATAACTGCCAGTGATGCCATTAACATAACTGCCAGTGATGTCATTAACATAACTGCCAGTGAAGTCATTAACTTACCAGCCAGTGATGTCATTAACTTACCAGCCAGTGATGTCATTAACATAACTGCCAGTGATATCATTAACTTACCTGCCAGTGATGTCATTAACATACCTGCTAGTGATGTCATTATCATACCTGCCAGTGATGTCATTAACTTACCTGCCAGTGATGTCATTAACATAACTGCCAGTGAAGTCATTAACTTATCTGCCAGTGAAGTCGTTAACTTACCTGCCAGTGATGTCATTAACATACCTGAAAGTGATGTCATTAACACACCTGCCAGTGAAGTCATTAACTTACTTGCCAGTGATGTCATTTACATAACTGTCAATGAAGTCATTAAGTTACCTGCCAGTGATGTCATTAACATACCTGCCAGTGATGTCTTTTACATAACTGCCAGTGATGTCTTTTACATAACTGCCAGTGAAGTCATTAACTTACCTGCCAGTGATGTCATTAACTTACCTGCCAGTGATGTCATTAACTTACCTGTCAATGATGCCATTAACATAACTGCCAGTGAAGTCATTATCATACCAACCAGTGATGTCATTAACTTACCTGTCAGTGATGTCATTAACTTACCTGCCAGTGATGTCATTAACTTACCTGCCAGTGATGTCATTAACTTACCTGCCAGTGATGTCATTAACTTACCTGTCAGTGATGTCATTAACTTACCTGCCAGTGATGTCATTAACTTACCTGCCAGTGATGTGCCAGTGATGTCATTAACTTACCTGCCAGTGATGTCATTAACATACCTGAAAGTGATGTCATTACCTGCCAGTGATGTCATTAACTTACCTGCCAGTGGTGTCATTTACATAACTGCCAATGAAGTCATTAAGTTACCTGCCAGTGATGTCATTAACTTACCTGCCAGTGATGTCTTTTACATAACTGCCAGTGAAGTCATTAACTTACCTGCCAGTGAAGTCATTAACTTACCTGCCAGTGATGTCATTAACTTACCTGCCAGTGATGTCATTAACTTACCTGTCAATGATGCCATTAACATAACTGCCAGTGAAGTCATTATCATACCAGCCAGTGATGTCATTAACTTACCTGCCAGTAATGTCATTAACTTATCTGCCAGTGATGTCATTAACTTACCTGCCAGTGATGCCATTAACATAACTGTCAGTGATGTCATTAACTTACCTGCCAGTGATGTCATTAACTTACCTGCCAGTGATGTCATTAACTTACCTGCCAGTGATGCCATTAACATAACTGCCAGTGATGTCATTAACTTACCTGCCAGTGATGTCATTAACTTACCTGCCAGTGATGTCATTAACTTACCTGCCAGTGAAGTCATTAACTTACCTGCCAGTGATGTCATTAAGATAAGGGCCCAAACCCCCGATAACAGTAGAGGGGGGTGAACCATCTTGAACTCTCCCATGACTTCTGGCCAGCAGTTCTGAACCACACTTCTGGCCAGCAGTTCTGAACCACACTTCTGGCCAGCAGTTCTGAACCACACTTCTGGCCAGCGGTCCTGAACCACACTTCTGGCCAGCGGTCCTGAACCACACTTTTGGCCAGCGGTTCTGAACCACACTTCTGGCCAGCGGTCAATTCACTCTTGCTCTGTCGGTCGTCTCAGCCACTTTGTGTTCTTGGTCGCCAGGGGGTTAGCTCTCGGTGTTATTTCCTCATATTACTAATGTCCACTTAATAATGGCCGCTTTATAATGACTATGACCACTTAATACTGACCACTTTATAATGACCACTTAATAATGACCACTTAATAATGACCGCCTACTAATGACCACATAATAATGACCTCTTAATATTTACCAATTAATTATAACCAATTAATAATGACCACTTGATAATGACCACTTAATAATGGCCATTTATTAATGACCACTTAATAACGGACACTTAATAACAGTCATCTAATAAGGACCACTTACTAATGACCACTAAATAGTGACCACTTACTAATGACCACTTAATAATGGCCACTTAATAACGGCCACTTAATAACGGCAACTTAATGACCGCTTAATAATGACCACTAATTAACGACCACTTAACAACGGCAACTTAATAACGGTCGCTTAATAACAGCCACTTAATAACGGCTACTTAATAACGGACCACTTAATAATGACCACTTAATATTGACCACTTACTAATGGCCTCTTAATAAGGGCCACTTAATAACGGCGACTTAATAACGACCACTTATAAGCGACCACTTAATATTGGCCACTAAATAATGGCCATTTCATAATGGCTACTTAATAACGACCATTTGATAATGACCACTTAATACTGACCACTTATTAATGGCCACTTAATAATGACCACTTAATAATGACCTCTTAATTAAGGCCACTTAATATTGATCACTTAATAACTATCAAATAATGATGGCCACTTAATAACGGCCACTTAATAATGGCCACTTAATACAGACCACTTAATATTGATCACTTAATAACGATCAAATAATGATGACCACTTAATAATGGCCACTTAATAATGACTACTTAATAATGGCCACTTAATACAGACCACTTAATATTGATCACTTAATAACGATCAAATAATGATGACCACTTAATAATGGCCACTTAATAATGGCTACTTAATTATGACCACTTAATAATAACCACATAATAACGGCCACTTATTATTGATCACTTAATAACGGCCATTTAATAGTGACACTTAATAACGGCCACTTAATAATGACCACTTCCTAACGGCAACTTAATATTTATCACTTAATAATGGCCACTTAATAATGACCACTTAATAATGACCAAATAATAACGGCCACTTATTATTGATCACTTAATAACGGCCATTTAATAATGACACTTAATAACGGCCACTTAATAATGACCACTTCCTAACGGCAACTTAATATTTATCACTTAATAATGACCACTTGATAATGACCACTTGATAATGGTCACTTATTAAAAGTAATGTCTTCCAATTTGTACTGTAATACCGTTTTGAAGTGATTACATTTATATCAGTAAATATCTATGTAAATGTTTATTATCGTGAGCATCTTAGTTTGTTATATTTTGTTGTTGTTTTGATCAGTTGTCATAGTAACAGCGCTAAGTTGGTGTGGCCTGCAGTCTGGCGCTGGAGAGGGAAGAAGTAGCAACTCGTGACCTCCTGTGTCTGTGAAGGAAGGAGGGAACAGCCGTAAGTTAAATGATACATAATTATTTGTTTTATTATTGTTTTATGAAAAGTTGAAAATGTACACTGGTAATTAATTTCATTTAGATTAAGGTCTATTTTTTTCTTCCAATATCTTGCAGTAAGAATTAAGCCAACAAAAATTTTGGGATTTATAGGAATAAATTTTGGGTTGAAAAGGAAAATTAATACCGTCTGTGGATATGAATAGCCTATAAAGTTTATGTAAAGAAGCGTTAAGCGCACAGGTACTTGACCACAAGAACACCAGTTCGATTCCCCACCCCCCTCTTACCTTTCCTTTTATTGCAAGACACACAATGAAAACATTCAACAATCATAAGATATTTGTTTATTGTGAAGATTAAAGGATTACCTGTAACTAAGACACAGACTCTCTCTCTCTCTCTCTATATATATAAATATACTAGCGGAATCGCCGCCCTTTCGCTAGGCCACAGAAGGACGCCACCTTCCGGGAGGCTCCACATTGTCTCACTATAGTGCATTAAGGTAGACCACATTTTTGGTTTTGCCATTTGCAGCATGTACAGATTTTTGCCAGTTCCCACTCTGGAGCATCCAACATAGAACTGTCCATGAGAGAAGCAAGGAAACACCATCCATCATCACTACATATAACATCATCTATCATCACTACATATAACATCATCCATCATCACTACATATAACACCACCTATCATCACTACATATAACACCATCCATCATCACTATATATAACATCATCCATCTTCATTACATATAACACCATCCATCATCACTACACCAAGTATCATCACCCATCATCACTACATATAATACTATTCATCATCACTACATATAACACCATCCATCATCACTGCATATAACACCACCTATCATCACTACATATAACACCATCCATCATCACTATATATAACACCACCCATCATCACTACATATAACACCACCCATCATCACTACATATAACAACATCCATCATCACTACATATAACACCATCCATCATCACTGCATATAACAACATCCATCATCACTACATATAACAACATCCATCATCACTACATATAACAACATTCATCATCATCACTACATATAACACCACCCATCATCACTACATATAACAACATCCATCATCACTACATATAACACCACCCATCATCACTACATATAACAACATCCATCATCACTACATATAACACCACCCATCATCACTACATATAACACTATCCATCATCACTACAGATCAGTAAAGTAATTTCCGAGATTCTCGTGCGGACACATACACACACAAAAAAAACACACAGACATACTTCTTTGTTTCATGAGCGAGCGAGTGCTTAATGACGTGAACTATATTGACTCAAGGTAATACTTAAAATGGATGAGCAAATGCTGTATTGGCTGGTGACATGTGTGGAGGTGTGAGTTGTACAAACCCTGCCCAGTGGTAAGGTCGTGAGAGTTGGGGACAGCCAGGTGAGGTTCTCAGATAGGACTTTTTGTGAAAGAGATAGGAAACGTAGGACTAGGGTGTGTTTTCCTGGGGCTGGGATAGGGCATGTAGCCGAGAGGATAGATAGGGTTTTGTAAGGGGAAGGTACCAAGCCAGTAGTGTGTCTTAGTGTAGGAGGTAACGACATAGGAAAGGTTAGGAGTGAGAAACTTTTCAAGAGGTATAGGGAGGCGCTAGGGAAGGTTAGAGATTGGGGAGGGATCCCGGTAGTATGTGGTGGTTTGTCTAGAAGAGGGGTTGGTGGTGAATGGCTGTCCAGGGTAATTACTATAGATTGCGGACTGGAAAAACATTGTGCAAGCAATGGTTGGGCATTCATTGATAACTGGCGACGATATCTATGACAACGACTACATCACAGTCGTGACGGGTTACACTTGTCTCGCGCGGGGATAAAGACGTTGTCTGCATTCCTGGAGCGTGAAATTGTCACTCCAGAGGGGGGCGGGGGGTCACCAGTAGAGAGAGGTCAGGGTAAGTGGGAGTAAAAAAAATAAGCAGGTCCTGGGGAGTAAAATTGGTTACTCAGGACAAGGGGTAAAACAGGACCAGGGAAGGGTAGGTTTAAATGTATACTATACAAACAGTAGGAGCGTTGGAAATAAAATAGACTTGCTGAGAGTGGTTGTATGTACCGAGAGTGTCGACTTCATAGCAATCACCGAAACTTGGATGAATCTGGCGAGCAAGAACTTTTGATCAGAGTATCACATAGAAGGGTACAACCTTTTTCACAAGGACAGGGAAGGTAGGAAGGGGGGAGGTGTCGCACTCTTCGTCAGGGATACATTAAAATGTTGTATTAATAATACAATAAAGGACGAAATAGGAACCGAGTCGGTATGGGTAGAAATTACGGAAGGAAGAGAAAAACTAATTATGGGAGTGATTTACAGGCCCCCAAGTCTTGGCAAAGAAGCAGCTCAGCCCATATGGCAGGAAATGAGTAGGGCAGCAAGATACCTGTGCATTATGGGGGATTTCAACTTCAGAAATATTGACTGGGACAACGTTATAGGTGACTATGAAACTGAGGACTTCCTAGAAGCAGTACAGGGAATTTGTTTAAAACAACTAATTACAGAACCTACTAGAGGTGACAATATATTAGACCTAGTATTAACAAATAATGAAAATATTATCAGAGTTATCACAAGAGGGGAAGAACTAGGGAACAGTGATCACAGAGAAATCAGGTTTACCCTAAATTGGAAAACGAAAATAATGACAATATGGTCAGAGTCCCAGACTTTCGATCGGCGGATTATGAGGGGTTAAGAAGGTATCTAGATGAGGTCACCTGGGAACGGTGAGGTCAGTTTCCGGTAGGAATGGGTGAGGTCACCAGCGACACAACATTTGATGACGACTATTCTAAATTCACTAGTATACTACGTAAAGCACAGGAACAAAATACCTGTATGCCATACAGAAAAATTAGGCCAAATAAGAATGAGCCAAGGTGGATGACCAAAAAACTTAAACATGACATAGGAATAAAGAAAGAAATTTATAAGAAATTAATGGGAGAGGAGGTGCAGCTCAGAAATAGGTATAATGAACTATCTAGGAATGTTAAGAAAAATGTAAGGAAGGCAAAGAGGGACTACGAAATCAGGATAGCAAGAGAATCCAAGGCGAATCCTAAGGGATTTTTCCAGGTATATAGGACAAAGGTCAAGGACAAAGTGGGGCCTTTAAAGTGAGAGAGAGGGGAAGTGATCGATGATAGTGAGTAAATAGGCAAAGCATTAAACAGCTACTTCCAACCAGTTTTCACAGAAGAAATTCATGAGGAAACACCAGAGGTGGAACTGATATTTAGGGGAAATGAAGAAGAGAAATTAATGAATATCACTATCAGAAAAACTGGATGTTCTTAAGAAGATTAATAAATTAAAGACAAAATCCCCAGGGCCGGATAAAATCTTCCCTTGAGTTGTGAAAGAGTGTAAGTAACAGATTAGCAGACCCCTCGTAAATTTATTTACAAAATCATTACACACGGGAGTTGTGCCAGACTTGTGGAAACAGGCAAATGTAGTACCCATATTAAAAAAGGGAGACAGAGCATCAGCGTCAAATTACCGACGTCAGTTGTGGGGAAATTTCATGAATTATAGTAAATAGCATCAGATCTCATTTGGAGAAAAACAAATTATTCTACGACTCTCAACATGGATTTACAAAGGGAAAATCTTGTCTAACAAATCTGCTGTTATTTACTTAGACTTTAGCAAAGCATTTGGGAGAGTGCCACATCAGAGGCTTCTGAGAAAAGTTAAGGCTCATGGTAACGAGGGGAAAGTTTTAAACTGGATAAAATCATGGCTCACTGATAGAACACAGAGGGTCAGCGTTTGATGAATTTCAATGTGAGTGGGGCTGTGTAACCAGTGGGGTTCCCCAGGGGTCAATACTGGACCCACTCTTGTTCATAATCTACATAAGCGATCTAGATACTGGGATCAGCAGTGACATAAGCAAGTTTGCGGATGACACGAAAATAGGGCGGCAGATTAATTCAGGGCAGGATGCAAATGCACTACAGGAGGATTTAAATAAACTGCAGGAGTGGTCAGAAAAATGGCAAATGAAATATAACACCAGTAAGTGCAGCATACTTACAGAAATATTGGAAGAACAAATACTGTCAATGTATCCAGACTTAACATCAACCTAGAGAAGTCGGCTTGTGAAAAAGACTTAGGGGTACTCGTAAGCCCGGACCTTTGGCCTAGAAAACAGTGCGTTAATGTTCGAAATAAGGCAAACAGAGTAATAGGTTTTATATCTAGAAGTGTAAGTAATAAGAGTGCGCAAGGTCATAATGCAATTATATCTTGCACTAGTCAGGCCGCACCTCGATTATGATGTTCAGTTCTGGTGCCCTTATTATAGAATGGATATCAATTCACTGGACGCGGTGCAGCGAAGAATGCTGAAAATTATTCCGGTACTTAGAAACCCTCCATATCAATATAGGGTAAAGAAACTAAACTTGCATTCCCTAGAAAGAGGAAGAGTGCGGGGAGATATGATAGAAGTTTTTAAGTGGGTGAAAGGAATCAATAAAGGGGATATAGATAAAGTTCTTATAACATCCGAGCAGGATAGGACTCGGAGCAACGGATTTAAGTTGGATAAGTTTAGGTTTAGGAGGGAGATAGGAAGGAACTGGTTCACAAATAGGGTGGTGGACGAGTGGAACAAGCTTAGCAACTTTGTAGTGAGTGCTGGAACGCTGGAAAGTTTTAAAAGGAGGCTAGATAGATTCATGGATGATAGAGAGTGGTAGTAACTCTCAACAGGAGCTGCCATGCACAGGCCAACCGGCCTATTGCAGACTCCTTATTTTCTTATGTTTTTATTAGATATTTGCAGTGGTGGGCACGGTTCTGCTAATCTGCTAACAGCTAATTAGCGAAGCTAACTTTCTCGTTAGCGGATTGGCGTTTTCGCTA